GATAGTTCCCATTTTTCACTAATCTTGTATGAAGATTAGAAAACATTCTACTTCCGGGCCGACGATTCGGATATCTTTGTCTATACTACTTACATTTTGCAATTAATGATCGCCCGTTACAAAACCCATAAACAAAATACATGTCTACAAGCTTTCTCTTTGTAAAATTTTGCATTTTTCGAAAATATTGAGACGGTGTTTTCAACATCATGACAGTTCACACAAACTAAATAACTAAAATGACACATAGATGAATACATTTTTGTTTTCACGGCTAACTTAGTTTATTGTGTTATAAAAAAAGCTTGAAATTTTAAACTATATTCTTGGGAACCTATCAATCGTATCGAAAAGAACCAAGAGTATCTTTTTGTAGTAAAAAAGGTTGCATTTTATGAGTATGTTCTCAAAAATATTAAAAGTACTTTTTTAGTTGCGGTATCCCAGTTAAAAGGATAAAGTTTTGTGACATTTACAATACCAATTTTAAGAGAAATCCAAAATTCGAAGCATTTATCTGTACCGGTTTCGAAAATATAGTCAGAAAATCATCTTCAGGGGGTCGTCTTCAATGGGCCGTTACTCCCTTAATTTTGACGGGTGTGAAGTTATCCACATCTACAAATGTACACTGAGAAAAATATAGCTTTATCGTAAAGGTCGATTCATAAACTCGACGTTTGCTTTTGCCGACGCCGATGCCGGTGACGATTGCCGACTGCTGTTCGTAGCCTTAAATTCATCCTATTCATAAACTTGACGTTGATGCGGTTCTCTTCTTCTTTTTTTGGTGTTTTGGAAAATATATAACCTATAATTTTACTTTTTGTGTTGATATATGTGAACGACATACGAATAACGAATGGATGTTTGTTTGTTTTGACACTATTTCCACTTACGGTGGACATGCGCACAAAAATTCGATCCCCTGCGTGGTAGTCGTGGTACCCTATATGATGGAGGCCAAATAATAATAAAGAAAGAACGGCTCCAATGTCATGCGTCAAAATCACGTGACAAGCTAAAAGTGATTTGATTGGCTCTTTGCTAAGGCTACGAACGTCGCTACGAACGGCCGTCGGCGAAAGATAAAATTCGTTTATGTTGAACGTCACCAAAAGTAGACCCATCGGCAGACGGCACCGTCAACGGCAACTATGAATGGTCTTATGCACTTCAATGTTTTTAATCTGTAACGGCCAACGGCATCGGCATCGGCAAAAGCAAACGTCGAGTTTATGAATCGACCTTAATAGTTATATAATTTGGTTCAAATGACATGTAGAGGCTTTACATTTGCAGATTTCAATTGGGGAGGTTTCAATACATAACAAACATACCCGCAATTAACTTTTGCTCCGTCTGAAGGGGTGGAATGGGGGTGAAATTAAAAAAAATCATAGAAGCCACAAATGGCATTGTACACCTTTCAGCTAGGGATATGTTATGTAGTTCGCTCTTTTCTTCATCCCTGATACCATGCTGGAGTTTGTCGAGGCGTCTGAGGGATTGCAATTTGCGGTGAAATTTGAAAAATCAGAATCTGCTTGGGATGACTTTGATTTTAATATTCAAAAAATAAAAAAGAACTTTGAAGAGGAAGTGTGTTGTGTCTTTCTACTTTTCAAAAGTATATATAAAAAACATGAATTACTTAAGAGTAGTAAAGATATATATGAAAATATTAATTCTGTATTTCATACTTTTGACTTCTACTAACAGCTCACCCCGTAGAACTGCAAACTTGAGGTCCATAAGAAAGTTGCCGTTAATGACTAAAGTTGAACAAATTCTGTCAGTACCCACAATCAAAAGTGCGGGGTCCTTTACACACACTTGTGAGTAAATTTCCATTTGAAGGGGTTAGAGCAAAAAGGGTAATAAGTGCAGATTATATAGTTTTGAGTAATTAGATATTAAAGTTAAAGTTTAAAGTTAAAGCTAATTCTATGAAAAAGAAATTGTCGTAGTGTTAACGTGTGTGGCTAAAAAAAGTTACGCAAAATCTTATGAATAAAGTGAATTTTAAAAATAAAAATTAGTTCAGTCAAAAATTTTGAATTTCATGTACGTGTACCTTTTTGCACATACGAAAATAGTAATTTTGTTAAAGGTTGTCAAATAAAACATTCTTTTTTAATATAAGCACGTTTATTAAAGGAAACACAACTTATGATTCATAATCCGAATCAAGGTCATGATCATCCAAGTCTTCTTCACCATCCGATTCTACATTGGCTCCATTGTTAGAATTACTGGGACCTGGTTCTGAATTTTTAGTAGTTGCTGTTTTGGCCCTTTAGATTTTTGATGGATCATAATAAATAGGTGGAATGCACTCCAGAAGGTTCTGGAGATTATTCCATTTTTCAAGTTTAATAGGCACTGGGGATTTGTTAGATTGCTGCAGTATTGATTCTTAGGAAAACGATGGACGTCCGACGAACTTGATCCGCAAGCACATTTTGAAAATGGATACGAACTATCTATAGTCTATTTTTATGTATGAGAGAGTATTAAAATAATAAAGCGTTCGTAATCCATAGGCGTACGACTTCTTTTAGTAGATAGTTAAAATATTTTTTGAAGTTATTCCTCGAGTATACACTTATATTTTCACCTAATTAACCTGCTTATAACTTCTAAACAGCTGAAGGTAAAAAAGTGCATTTTTTTCTAAAATGTTTTATTTTATATACCTTGTGTATGTTAAGAACATTGTGTCAAACGGGTTATGTAGGTATAAGGGTTTAAACTTTGACTTTTAAACAACGTTACGTTCATAAATAATAATTTTAATATAAAAACTACTTCTTACCTACAAATCCAAATCAGAATCGAAATCAGAAGATGAACTGTCGCAACCAATATTTACAATAAGTGGCTCGATCATTTCATCAGTAATATTGTCCAACTTCCACATTTTCTCTTCTTCTTTAATCGTATTTCCTGATGGTGGATTTAAACCAGTAGATAAATTATTTAAAAAAGCCTGTCTTCGACTTGTAACAGTTTCATCTTGCCAAAATTTATTTGGTTTATGTCCCTCGTTGATCCATGTTTTATCTAAATAAAATATATTTTTTCTTTGGTTTCTCATTTCTTTTATAGTCCTTAGGTAATTTCTTCTCCATACTACAATATCACTTCTTTCTATTAAAATAGACTTTCTGGAATGCTTTTTCCATAGAAAACCTATTTCTTTTAAAAGTTTCCATAGTGTGCTTCGACTCATTTCAGGGTAATCCTTATCATCTCGAACCGTGGCAAGGACTTTGTCTACTGTCGGAAATTCTTTTCTAAAGAAGAACGCATGCACTTTCCTTCTAAGTCTTTCTTTCAAAAGATTTTCTAATTGAAATTTTGGTTTTCCTGGAGCTTTACGTGCTGTTTGAAACTCGCCACATTTCTCTTCTTTAACAACTCTGTAAATCGTAGATTTCCCAACACCAAGCGTACTACTAACTAATTCCACTGTGTCATAAACACTTTTACATAAATGTTTGTCTGTGAATGATTTAAAACAATTAAATATTAATGTTTTTTCATTAACTGTTAAAGGACCGATTTTTTGTCGTTTACGCGGCCCTTCCAAATTTTCCATGATCACACTAGAATTCACACTGCACCTTGCAAGTTGCAACTAAATGACATTTAGTAAACTGTCAAGAGTTCACAACTTGGACCTCCTTACTAAATGGAAAACCTATAATCGCATTTTCGGTGAAATTTGTTGGGAAGGCATTTATCTACTTATAATTCGATTACTGTAAGAAATTCTTGGAATTAAAATAAAACAAAATTGGCAAATAGGTACTTATTGAAAATAATCTTAAGATACGGCTATGTAATCTTTAATACACAGGGCTTTTGGCCTGTCCAAACCTTTTTCTATTGTTCTGTACAGCTTATGTTTATAAATAATAATAATAATAATAATACTCTCCCTAATTCACCCCCTTAGAAGTGAATTTCAACCCTTGAAGTCGACTGAACGACTTGTGTAGGGGAAGGGACGGCTATTATTATTATTATTATTTGCCGTGGCGCTCCGGGGCGACTTAAGGATGATTGATGGTGCCATTTGACTTACAGGTGAGGAAAACCCGGAAAACCTCACCCACCATCATCGAGACGATAATGTATGGCGATTTTATAATCTGCATGTCATATCAATAGAAATTGAATTTTCTATTAATACGCCACACATCAAATCCTAAACCGAACCATGTAATTTAATTAAAAATCCACAGGGTCTGGTCTGGGATTCGAAGCCCAGCAGTCTCGGACTCATAAACTTGCCTATAAATGAATACAAGCGCGTTAGACCGCTACACCATCGACCCGATAAAGGACCAATAAAAGACCCAAAACTTGTAATAGCTCAGGTACATTTATTACAATTTTAGGAAATATTTAGATTATTCTGTAAAAATATTTAAAATGACCGTACTAAGTTTTGCATTAGAAATGCTGTTTTATTACTCTCTTATACATAAAAATAGACTATAGAGTATGTTTAAACTCTAATGAAAATGTTTTCATATCTTTGTCATATTTCAAATAAGCGACTTCCCTAAATTTCAATGGTTTTCCTTCGGTGTCTTTTTTGAAATCCTTTATTAAGTTGTCTAAATTTTCAAAGGAGTAAAACATTTCTTGAGTCATATTACACACGATAAATTTCTTTGAGGAACGAGCAATCACTGTCCTCCACTGATCAGGTATGAATACTAGTGGATTCTTTTTCTTATTTTTCTCAATTAAAGCGAAGTTTCTGTCACATTCCATTTATGTATGGCCCGGTTCTAAAAACATGATAAATGTCTTATAGGTGGGTAGCTTTAGTTAAAAACATAAATAATGTTCATATATTTTTACTCTTATTTTGCCCCCCACATGAATCACTATATGCTATGAGTTTGGTAACATGGGGGGGGGCAATTGTAACAACTGCCTTTCTCGGTGCTCTACCCCCTGTATCCTATGTAACGCTTTCCCTAAATTCTAAGCTTCGTCTTTTTATTTATTTTCCATTCAGGATCGCATATGTGTCTTTTCCTTGTTCTTTTGGGTGTAACATAAATATTTTGAATAGACTGAATTTCAGTTTTCGATTGTTCTGAGTTTTCCGATGAGTTTTCATGTAATGAGCTACTTCTTGGAAGAAATTCTTCATCTTCTTCGGTATGATATGGGTCGTCTTGTTCTGATTCTGAGTGATAATCATCTTAAAAATACACATAAAAATATAACCTCAAAATTACCTATGTTTTTAATTATTTGTTGTCTTACTTTTATTACTCGTCGTTTCTTAGATGTTGTAAACTATAACTATTTATTTTTAGACTCTATAACCACAGCTAAACTTAATTAATAAGTAAAAACTACACTGATATTACTAAATCGTAAGCGAGCATTTACAACGCATACAAGGCACTAAAATTTCGTTTACTGCAAAAACGGTACAAGTGCACTCATACCCCTTTTGCAGGAACCAATTTGTAGAAATGGTTAACAAGGTTCTAGATTTCACTAAAAGATGGCGTTACTGATCGTCAAAAGAACTTTATGCTGTGACAGAAATTTCATTTAACTAGATGAATCTGTACACTTATCTCTAAAATGAAAAAAGTCTCTTGTACCCTTTTTGCTCTAACCCTTTCAATTATATCATCATAAACTACAAAATTTAAAACTATTAATAAAAAACCGTTATTTTTATTAATTTTATGGTTATTTTATCGCCCTAAAAAAACGTTCAATTAGTAATTTTATGGTTAGAAAAATTACCAATGAGGTACATTTACAGGTGGCGCCGGATAAAAAGAACACCCTGCGTATCAACACACAAGCGCTGGGCTCTTTCAGAGGGGGCTCACTGCCCAATGTTACCGGAGGTTCTTCTGGTTCGGCTAAATTGACTGACGATAACGATTCTGTCAAGGTGATTTTACAAACCATTAAGTACTAGATGTGTCGTAGTTACTCATTAGCTTCGTTGTTATTATTATACTTTTATTTTTTTATTTATTTTTAGAAATTGTGGTTTATGATTGTTTAAGTGCATTTATATTATATAGTGTTGCGATATGATGAAGTGCATGTTGTTTAGATTGTTATGCTTTTCGTATTATCAAGATATATCTAGTTGGAATACAAGCAATTTCTAGTAATTAAAAAAAAATACATGAAAATTAAATATTTCTGCAACTCTGGGTAAGAATTTAACGCTTTCGCTGTCCAAGCTTCAATGCTCTGGCCCATCGGTATAAGTACATTTAGAAGTTTGGACGTTCATTAACGTCATGGGCCGCACACAATAAAAATTTAAAAATATATTCTGGAGAATAGGTATTATATATACAGGGGGATTATAAATACGGACACAAGTTAAGACCAAAAGAGAAAAGAATATAGACCTCTATAATAGGATGTCTAGTACTGATGTCAAAGAAGTATATTACCGGGCAGCTGTACCTATAATTTCATTTATCGATCAAGGTAGTCAAGCACTTCATGAATGGTTGACCCGAGACTTATAAGTTCTCGGAAGCCTATCTAGGGAGAGGTATAAATGAGGAATTAATAAATCGAAAGAAGTAGGGTATCCAAATGGTGCAGCCACCATGTCAAAATCTTGTAGGGAAGGCTGGACTATTCAAGGCGGGGAGTCAAAAACAATCAAGAGTAGTTTAAAAGGAAGTCTGAAAGGATGAAAAAAGACGTAAACTCTCGTCGTAGTTCTATACAGGGTGTCCCATTTGTGCATAATTGCTTGATATTTCAATTTGTATTATACACACATGTTTTGAATAAAAATTATGTGGATTTGAAAAAATATAATTCGAAAACATTATTGGATATACAGGGTGTTACGCTTTTGCCTGGAAAGTAAAAACATGTTTTTAAATGGAACACTCTGTATTTTATTTCAGTTTTAGAGTGGCATGGTAATACTGTATTTCACTAGAATATTTTTCAACTTATAAGGACCAAGCTGTGATGAAAAAACTGGTTCATTTTATACAGTGTTTTAATTATACATATACAGGGTGTCCCATTAGTGGGTAATTGATCGATATATATTTTATTATTGGAGATAAGAAGAAATATTTAATATAAAAGTTGTAAGACCATATTTTACAATTATTCTTAAATATACATGGTAGTCTATAAATGAGGGGAAAATCAAACAGATAGTTTTTTAAACCAAACACCCTGTAGGTAGTTACGCCTTACAGATTTGGTTGTTTTCACATCGTTTTATAATTTTAATAGACTAAACATTTTCATTTATTTGCTGTGATGCATACAGGATGTGTCTAAACTTAAGGTTACAATATTCTTAATTTTTTCAAATATATCCCAATTTATAAATTAATTTCTTTACTTCTTTTATTTTGTTTGGCATTCTATTCCCAAACGAATTTTTTCTCAAGATTTTGACGGTTTTATCATGAAAATTTACATAATTTTTTCACATTTTTTTAATTGGCTTTTGAAAATATGGACTTATTTAGGGCAAATAAAATGCTAATGTAATTTTTGGTAACCATTGTAAATAAAATTTAAAAATCAGTTTCGGCTCAAGAATGCCAAACAAAATAAAAAATAAAGAAACTAAATGATTAGTTAATTAAATTTGTGGTGTAACATACAGGGCAATTCATTAAAAAAAAAAAATTTGAAAATCATAATTTTGCGTTTTGACATACCCTATATAATACGTAGCAAATGAATGGAAAGTCAAAACATTTTTAGAAACGTAAAGTCTATTTAAATTGTTTGACGATGTGAGAACAAATAAATTTGTTATACAAGGGTGAACTATCATGACGTTAATGAACGTAATGGGCAGCGAGAGTGTGAAAAAATAGTTTTGGCTCTACAGACCGAGGCGTTGCCGGTAGCCCATCCTGTATAAAGTGACGTTTTTTAACAAAAAAAAATTCAAAACGAACCGATTTCCAATTTACCAAATTTAAAAGAGAATAGTTGTTTTAATTTTCGATATATTAAATTTGGGACACCCTATATACTTATTTTACCGCTATCTTTAAATAATATGACGATCTGTTATCTTATGTTTACTCCCTTACGCCTTCTTCTGACATTTTCAATTGCAAATTTTCTCCTTATTATCAGTCTATGAAGTACTCTTATCTCAGTTTGGTGTTTTAATTTAGAACTTCATTATCTTGCCCCGTATATATTTGTACATATCGGAACATGTGTTGAGTTTACGTTATCCAGACTTTAAAACAATAAACTTTTATGGCATGTAGTAGCATAGCATTATTATTTTTATGTGATGAAGTTTAATGTCATTGTATTTTATATTTTATTTCAAAATTGCTCGTATATATGCGGTCATGAAACAAATTTTATTTAAAATGATTGTATGTAGGTAGGTATTATTTATTTAAAACAGCAAGAAGGGAAATATATTTTAATATTAAATGTCTTTACATTTACATGGAGTAACGCGAAAAAATAGAATTATTTTGTTATAAAAAATTATTCTGCAATTCCTAACATTATCTTTAAAGAGTTAGATTGTGAATTTTATAGTTAACCTGATTCTATTTTGAAAAGTACAGTCCTTTTTTTCAAACAAATTGTCTTTGTGACTTTTTAAAACTTTATGTGTCCTTTTTTTATAGCACATGTCCTTTAAAAGAACCTGGTTTATAAAAATGTAAGCTGAGGACCTTTGTTTTTTTTAAGAAGCTCGGCAGAAAGATCAGGGGTTGTTTATAAAAATATAAGCTGAGTACCTAAGCTATAAGCTGATAAAGACTTAGTTTGACGTATTCATTTATTTGTAAAAAACGATTTTTTACTGGTATTTATATCATTATTGAAGTTTTCTAAACATTGGCTTTGAAAGATTTAAAATTTGTATGGTTTCTTGAATTTTATCTTTATTGGAAAAGCCTTATAATCGATTTTAAACTTTTCTAAACTCACTAGGTGCCGATTTTGATTTTTCTTTTTGATGTATAGCAGAATAGTTTTGTAAAGGTTTAGGTATTTATAAACCATACATGCAGCGATGAATTTGTTCCACAATTTTTTTAGTCTGAAAGAAGAATAAAAAATTATGATTTTAATCGTTTTTTAGTCGGACGAAAGTAGTAAATAGATATAACAACAGCCGTGAGCTCGAACGTAAAGACTGATATACATTATAGATGTAATTAATGAGTTGCAAATAAAATATATTTGATCAAAGATTAAACGGTGATTTTAGGTTATTAAGTCACAAAAATCTGATGTGTCCAACACATGACTTGCCTATCTAGTTATTACTGGCTAGTCCGGTCTATATAGACATTTCAAATAACAAAAATTCCGACAAAACCAAATTTTCGTAGAGACCTTGAGTACTCCAGTAGAAATAAAGTGCCAAAAGTCCCCATTGATCCCATGAGTGCTGAAAGTTAGTCAAAGTCAAAATTTTCGTTTTTTTTTTTGTAGATTTTTCTCGAAAACGGTAAGTTTTATCAAAAATATAGCTCAGGCAAAAATTGTAAATCATAAAATTATCTACAAAAATTTCCCTTATACTTTTTTTTAAGAATCACCTATGAGGTAGTGTGCTTAACGCTTTTTTTTAACGTGGTTTCCCCGGTAGGCCTATTCCACGATTTGTTATGACGAAGTTTTATGGGAAAATATTGTATTTACTGCATGATATTAATATAGGTGATTATTTTAAACTGTAGTTCTAATTTATGTTAATATTTTAATCCGATTTATACTCTTCAAATTCTACTTCAACAGTCATTAGGGTTGCCACCTTTTTGAAAAGTGCAAATAGGACTATGATGCCAATAGGCGGTCCAGTATACAAAAGGGCCTCAATCCTTCTACTAAACGTCTAAAAAAAACACAGAAAGGGCGATGACTGTGTCACAAAAAAAAGTACTCGAGCTTCTAAAAAAAGGACATTTTAAGCTTTAAAAAGTCGCAAGGACATTTTGCTTAAAAAAGGACAAGTGGCAACCCTAACAGTCATGTCTTCTTCTTCCTCTTCTTGACTGAAGATGAATCAGCAGTCTCTTCATCGATATCACACGAATTGAACATTCGAGCAAGACTGGCCTTGGCAACCTTTTTTACAATTGCAAAAAATAGTGTTTAGGAGTTTTTCCGAATAGTTTGAATCAGTTCCAAAATATTGTCTGTTAATTTTCAACCCCAGTCTTCGGGGTTTAGTTGATTGCCTAGCCATGTCTGAACTCGATAAAATGCTCGATACAAGTATTGATGAGCCGATGTTGGAGGAAGACAAGATAGTTGTACTTGTTTCTTGTTCCGTGTATTTTTTACAAAAGTTAAATATCTATACCTGTCTATACAATTAATTTTCTTTGGAGCTCCATAAACAGCAAGGAGAAAGCGAATTCCTTTTGTGATTAATGTTTGAGAAGAATCAATTTTTTCAAATACTTTAGCGCAATCAATTAAATCCATTTTTTCAAATAATTTCAATACTGATGTTTTACCCCTTCTGAACATTCCTGTCGTAGTATCGCAGCCGGTTATCGCATGTAAAAATAAAGAGTATATTTCTGGGTTTTAGTAAGTAGATAATTTTACCAATTGGAGTCCGTGCAGTAGGTTAGGTGGTTAGGTTCAAAAAGGGTGGAATAATCTCATCACCTTCCACTGCGACCCAGATGGGTCTTTTATGGCTCATGACTAACTTATAGTTCACCGTACAAGCCACACCTTTTCATGAAGGCCATGGTTGAATTGGGTGAGACTTGTTTAAAGTCGGTAGGCTCCAGTCGTGTAAATCCAAAGATCTCGAACCTGGTTCATTCCAGAGTGGAGTAGGTACATAGAATGTGCTCTGCAGACTCGTCCTTCACGCTGCAGAATCGACAGTGCGATGTTTGTTGCAGACCTATCCTTCTTATGTGGTTGCCCAGACGGCAGTGTCCTGTCATCAGTCCAGTGAAAATGCGTAGATCTTTCCTACTCCATTCTCGGATCTGAGCAGAGACGTTCATAGAAGTGTTGGTTATAAACGCCTTCGAATGAGTTAGCCCTGGGGTATCTCTCCATTTCGTGAGTGTTGCACCCTCCGTCCATTTTGAGATAATTCCTTTGGCAGTGATCTTTGCAATGCCCAGGAATGGTTCTGATCCTATGAACACACCACTGTGCCCCCGAACCCAGATCAAAGTAACTTTGTTCTGAGCACCAAGACATTCAAGGGTATTTATGTCAACTCTAGGCCTCTGGCCGAAAACTCCCGCTCCTACTCCTTTTTCAGTTTTGGAGCCCTCCGTGTACAACGCATAGTCTACCTGGGAGTCCGTGCAGTAAGTAGTACTCACAAATAAACATCTCCACAACAGTTGTATTTGTTGCATTGAGTTGTTCGATTACTGTTTCAATAATTATAAGGACATCAGCGTCATTTGGAGCTTGTTTAACTGCAGTGGTCAGCTTGTCACTTGGCATGAAAATGAAACGAGATTTATTATGAATGTTAGCAATAAATTGTTGTTGGTTTGCTGGAACTGTCATAAATTGATCAAAGATGATGTCGGAACATGAAGATGTTTTCGTAGTCCAACGACGTTGTTCTGCAGCTTTAATGTTTTTTGTCGACTCACTATAGCTAAATCCTATAGACCCTGTTTTATTGTTTCAACGCATGTATTACCAAGACGTTCGAGGATTAAATTGAAACATTTTTCTAGTACCTATAGTACCTCCTTTTCATGAACTTTAACGGTGCTACTCACGGCTAAAAGAGGGATTACTTTTTCAGAGCGTTTTAATTTATTATTATTGAACGTTTAACCTATCATTTTGGAGATGGAAGCAATCCCAACTTCACGATCTTTATGGCAATTAATGTTATTATCACCGACGATTCCACTAGCAATAGATAAAATTTTGTTAATTTCGGAATGAAAAACCACTCAAGAAGTTTTTTAATATCTTTAGCATCTTTCTTTGCTCGAGAATCACTTGCATCTACATGCTGATCAGTTGTATCCATTCGAACATTAGCAATAACTTCCAATTCTTCACACACAGTATTCATAGCATGCATTCCAAAAATCCATTTGCTTATTACACTTTCTTTCGCGCTTCTGCCCCGTGAAATACATCCATCTGTCTTCATCGATTTCATCATAGATTATCATGTCCATCGAAGTTCCACAACTTAATTTATCAGAACATCGAACTGTAAAAAATCCTTCTGTGAATCTTTGATAAACACTAGAATCAATAACCTCCCCTAATTGAAGCATATCTTGCAAATACAAGTGTGCTGACTTAGCATAAGGTAAATGCCCTGATGCATGGAAATAAGGAAGCATTTCTTTAACGCTGTTCAAATGAGCTTGCCAATCACCCTTTGCAATGGACACCATCCGAAAATATATCCTCAATTGTGCTGTAGGTCCTCGTTTTTGATATTCCTTTAGTTTCTGATTGAACCGATGAAGTAATTGTCCAGCTGTTTCGTCATCTTCTACAATATCATAGTATGAAAGAGTGTTATTTATAATATTTTCAACAGTAATAATAAGATTTGCATCCATCACGTCATCAAGAACTAGTTCTTTAGATATTAATATTGCTAAAGTGAGCTGAAGTAATGTGTGAGCTCGAACTGCCCTCGCGTAAGCATGGTCAAGCAATTTTTCTAATGACTAAGGTGCATAAATCTCAGAGTAATTCTTTTATACCACTTCCTTGCATAATATAACCTATTGCTCCAAAAAACAACATGAGTAAATGAAATCCTTCTTTTTCATTCAAGTTTTTTTATCAGACCAGGCTTGACTTAAAATGTCTTTGTAATTGTCGACGAAACAAATAAATGTTAATTTTCCTAGCTTTTCTGTAATAATAATTCTACTACCATACTTTTCTTATCTAAAGCTACTTTTTTACTAACATTCTTTAGTTCATCCAATATAAACTGGCAATCACCACTACTTTCTATAAACTTATAAATTTCCTTCACCGCAGAGATTGTTGCCTCATGTTGAAAACGGTCTACTGTACCACCAGAATTAGGTCTCAGGAAAGATTTGTAACAATTTTAATGATACTTCGTCGCGTTAACGCAGAACTATTATATGTCCAAAAATGCTAATTTTTGTTTTTAATACCAAATGAAGCTATGATGCCTTTTTTATCCCATATAGTTATATTGTAACTTTTTTTTTTTTAATGTATGTTTAGCGATTATTCTTTAACACGGTGTCCGATTTCAATAATTCTTTTTTTGTTAGAAAGGGGGTACTTCAGGGGTGGTCCCATATAAATTTAGTCAAAATTTAATAATTGGGTCCATGAGAAAATCCTCAAACTATTTATTTTTTATGTACGTTTAGCGATAATGCTTTACCACCTTGTCCGATTTATACGATTCTTTTTTTGTTAGTAAGTGGGTACCTCAGGGGTGGTCCCATATAAATTTGGTTAAGATGTGGTGACAGCATCTGCACGTTTTTGAAGTCGGTTTTTTAAATTTTTAATTTCTAATACTTGTATTTATTCTGAAGGCAAAAGATTGTTCTGTAAAACTCATATTTTGCGACATACAATAATTCTGCATTAAGGCGACGACTTAGCCTTAGCAGCAATTAAATCATACTCAAAATTAATGCGTGCAGTAAAAATCAAAGTATGTGGTGCAGTAACAGCTTTTGATACGTCATCCTAACGATCCTGAGCTACTGTCAATGAAAGTGTAGCACCGTTATAAATTTTTTGTCGACGATGTAGCGATTTTTTTTTCAGCCTTCTCATTCGCTTCATCGCCACAAAATAAACAACATTTTTTTAAGACATAAGTCGGATTCACTTACTCGTGCTCTAATACGAGGTGGACTTACTTTTGATGTACTAGCTTGTCCATCCTCATGTTGTCTTTTGATAGCAGCAATTGAACTTTTCCGGGTGTATGATTTTCGGCAATCCACGTGAATTGTTACAGACGTTTCACTTCTCAGATAATCAACAAACTCATCACCTCTTTTGATACTTGCATTGATCAAAGTTTTCATTTCACAAATAACTGTAACAGTTTCTCCTTCCGTCAAAAGTTTATTGCAAATATAGCACAAATGTGACATTTTTTAAAAAATAATAATGGCTACAAACTGTAATAGTAGACGCTAGCAATAAATACATGTATTCACTCGAAAAGAACATTCAACACTAAGAGTATTTCACTATTTTCACTTCACTCAAGCCACTTGAGCAGCGTTGCCAGTTGACCAAAACCGAATTATTGTACAATGTAGAAATTATCGTTTTTTTCATGATATTATCGTACAAAACTAGGATGATCATATTTCACCATATTTCTTTTCGTACAATCAAAAAACCTCTACCTGTAGATTTAGCCAACCAGCCGTTAAAATCTGCCATACACTCACATGCTTTAAGATATTTCTGTGCTCTATGATGTTTTGCAACTATTTTATCACTTAATTTAAGTCTTTTACTTATCGAACGTTCCTCTTTTTCACTGCTGGAGGACGACGAAGACATTTTAATAGAAAAATCACAAAAAAACTAATCTCCAAACACAAATTATATAAATGAAAGAAATAAATGCATTAACAGAAACATTAAACCTCCTTACCTCTTGCTGAAAATCGGCCCTCTGTAAATCGGGGAATTACAACGAAATTCCAACCAGCGCTACAGCGCCAATCGTAAGAATCTCAAGGTCAGCATAATATATGAAAAGTATCGAATCTCGAATCTTTGAAATGACTCGGGAGCTCGGAGGTCGTATCGACTTGAAATAATACGGTTTAGCAGTCGCCGTCGTGCGTTAATTCCATTTTTTTTTGGGAGGTCAACGAATTCAATATATTTTTTCAATTTATCAAAATTAAGAAATTATCGTACAATTAACCATTGATCGTACATTGTACCCTGCCTGTAATTATCGTACAAATACGATAATTATCGTACGTCTGGCAACGCTGCACTTGAGAAAAGCAGGTATATGAGCGTCGCCACGTGGACAATAGAGTAAGCAGTTGTTGATCAAGGCCATGCGGGGAGTGTATATTCTCAGAATTGTTTAAACATATAAGAGATACAAATAGGTATTTTTACTTATTTTAAGTGCCTGACGTACTATTTGTGTTCATATCATGTAGAATGTAACTCCTTCAACTTTTAGAATGACGATATCTTAGCAATGGTGATTCTTAGGAAAAAGTATAAGGGAAATTTTGGTAGATAATTTTATGATCTACAATTTTTGTCTGGGCTACATTTTTGATAAAACTTACAGTTTTCAAGAAAAAACTAAAAAACCCGAAAATGTTGACCTTAAATAACTTTTTTAGAACCCATAGGATCAATGGGGACTTTTGGCACTTTATTTCTACTGGTGTACCCAAGATCTCTACCAAAATTTAACACTGTCGGAATTTTTGTTATTTGTTCACTATTTTTATGTGTAAATTGATCGGAGTAGGTCTTTTTCGGTTATTTTGTACAGTCTGTTGTATCACTCCTGAAAATGTTTAGAGGATAAAGTAAATACATACATTTTCCATACACATCTTACTCGAAACATTTTTTATATTTAAATTGCCAACGGAAATACTTAAAAAATTTAATTCTACACTTTTCCTCAAATGTTTCCATTGTGGTTAATTTTAGAGAAATCATGAATACAACAAAAATTATTGAGAATGATATCGCAAACAACTTTTATTTGCAGAATTTTCTTCTCCAATCATAAGTAACAGACACCCTATAAAGTACCCTCAAAATGTTTCAATTATGCTTACTGCTCACTGCTGGATGGATTAAAGCTTAAGTTTAAAATTTGGCGTTTTTCTCTTTACCCGTTTTTGAGTTATATTTAAAATTCGAAATTTGCACTTTTCCTCAAATATCTCGAATACGGTCCATTTTAGGGAAATCATGTATAGGACAAGAATTATAGAGAATGACATCTCAAACAACTTTTATTTAAATATTTTTCTTAAAATTTCTATTTTTGAACGTTTTATCAAATTTATCGAATACGGACCATTTTAGGAAAATTATGTATAGGACAAAAATTATAGAGAACATTATCACAAGTATCTTTTATTTGAAGAATTTTCTTCTAGTATAAATAACAGATATATTCGATAAAATAGAAAAACGACCCCCTACCCTATCAGATGTTCCGGCTATGCCTAAAATCTAATCAATTCACCGCTTTATACAGACAGGAAAGAAAAAAGAAAAAATAAACATCTTCTAAGTAATTTAAAGAAAATATCAAAATTGATTAAATCAATAAATATCAATTTGTATTATAGGTAACAATCATTAATTAATTATAATAAATGCAAGGGCCTTTAAAATATTATATTAGATATTAGTTGTAACTGCTCCACAAATCAGGTGAATTTTGCCCCGATCTCTGAAATGTAATATTTATTTTAATCTAATTTTGTTAATGGTTTAATAGTCTAAAAGTCAAAGTTGGCTTTTTAATTAATTTAATTTGACTTATTTTAGTAATCTAGAAATTTTATTATAATTGTTTTCTCTAGATTAACTTATACAATAATGGTTTTATTGTTTTGTTCCTTATTTTGGCTCGTAAATGTCTATATCTATTTTTTAAATCAATATTTGTTGTGTATTATACAGGGTTTTTGAGTAAAATTTCCTGACAAAAAAAAATTGTTAAATAATTAAACTACTAAATACGAAATGGTTTTTCATGAAATTCCGTTGAAATTCATATATATGTTGTAGATATCGACCTCAAAAGTTACCATTGCCGTAACGCCCTGTCACTAACCGCATGGGTACAGGTTGAATATTAACTTTTTGATATTGGACTCGAATCCTTTTTATGTATTATGTCCAGTTGAAGAAGACCAAGATTGTTTTGCAATTATCAATATTCAATAACATTCCTGTGGATATGTGATACTTATTGTTACAAAATTGTCTTTTACTTGTATACAGAGTGTTTAATTATAATTTGTCTAACTTTAGAAAAATCACATATTTAAAATGTATTTCCACAAACCTGTCATTGGAATTTCTTTTATTTATTCATAATAATATGTTCTATACAAAGCCATCCTTTTTCATGTTCTGTAAGAAAACCTATCGAACACCTTGTAGTATCTTGAAAAAAAAATATTTGTTTACATATGTATTCAGTTACAAACTAGTTACTTTTTCACAACTAGTTACGTTTTCAGTTTCTTTACATACAAAATAATATTTTCAGTTCCAATATACAGGGTGATCCCCTTTTAAAATAAAATTTGTTTCATTTTTCAGCTCATATTTGTTGTATTCAAGATTCTGCAAAGTATTTTTATAATTATCTATTATTTTACAAAAATATTTAGAACAATATTTTCCATTTTTTAATTGTTTGATTTCTATACCTAGCAATATTATCTCGAACCGTGGCAAGAACTTTGTCTACTGTCGGAAATTCTTTTCTAAAGAAGAACGCATGCACTTTCCTTCGAAGTCTTTCTTTCAAAAGATTTTCTAATTGAAATTTGGGTTTTACTGGAGCTTTACGTGCTGTTTGAAACTCGCCACATTTCTCTTCTTTAACAACTCTGTAAATCGTAGATTTCCCAACACCAAGCGTACTACTAACTAATTCCACTGTGTCATCAACACTTTTACATAAATGTTTGTCTGTAAATGATTTAAAACAATTAAATATTAATGTTTTTTCATTAACTGTTAAGGAGGTCCTTTCGCCACCCCTTTCGCCACCAATGTTAAATAAAAAATATTAGATTATGACTAAAATTTATTTTTTTTCTGATAGTTAAAGTCCTTATTTATCTAATAGTGAACTTTTAACTATACCTTACCGTGCAAATTTTTAAGAATTTTTTTTTTTTAAATTTGTATTTGTACAGTGTCTTACGAGAAAGTAAGACCTCAACAACAATTCTCGAATTATACTATTATTTATTGACTAGATGGAGTAGAAAAAAACTAAAAATAAGGTTTTTGAAATATTTAGGTTTTGTTTTTTACAATAAAATATATAGGTTACCGTGGAATTTATTGAGAAATTAATATTAAAAAAAAATTTCAAGTAACCTAGTTGAAAATTTTTTGTGATTTTTTAATATTAATTTCTCAATAAATTCCACGGTAACCTACATATTTTATTGTAAAAAACAAAACCTTATTATTTCAAAAACCTTATTTTTAGTTTTTTCTACTCCGTCTAATCAATAAATAATAGTATACTTAATTATAATTCAAAAAATGTTGTTGAAGTCTTAATTTCTCGTAAGACACTGTACAAATACTCACATTTTTAAATTTTTTTTTCTCAAAAATTTGCACGGTAAGGTATAGTTAAAAATTCACTATTAGATAAATAAGGACTTCAACTATTAGAAAAAAATTAATTTTAGTCATAATCTAATATTTTTTATTTAACATTGGTGGCGAAAGGACCTCCTTAAAGGACCGATTTTTTGTCAAGAATACACAACTTGGACCTCCTTACTAAATGGAAAACCTATAATCGAATTTTCGGTGAAATTTGTTGGAAAGGTATTTATCTACTTATAATTCGATTACTGTAAGAAATTCTTGGAATTAAAATAAAACAAAATTGGCAAATAGGTACTTATTGAAAATAATCTTAAGATACGGCTATGTAATCTTTAATACACAGGGCTTTCGGCCTGTCCAAACCTTTTTCTATTGTTCTGTACAGCTTATGATTATAAAGGACAAATAAAAGACCCAAAACTTGTAATAGCTCAGGTACATTTATTACAATTTTAGGAAATATTTAGATTATTCTGTAAAAATATTTAAAATGACCGTACTAAGTTTTGCATTAGAAATGCTGTTTTATTACTCTCTCATACATAAAAATAGACTTATAAAGTCATGAATATATAAAATGATTCAAAATTATATTTCATGGAAAATGTACTTTTAAGCCGATCTAAAGTAAAATTGGTAGATGAAATAAATTACATGTCAGAGACTAGAACAAATTAATTACATAAATAGCTAATAATACTACGATTCTCTGTTAATTAACCAGAAATATTTGTTTACATATAAAAAATGTAAAAACGTACATTTGAACTATTGCAATTAAAATATTTCATAATTCATCGGATACGTCTTGTCAGAAGTTTTGGATAACACCCCGTATCCGAACATAATTAAGGGTAACATTTAAACTAAACTAATCAATGAAATAACAATCGTACATTAAGATTTCAAGGTCGTTTAATGGGTATTTCCTGTTTTTAATGAATATCAATGTTTTATAGACGATTTTCCGAATTATTAACATTTTCTTTGAATAAAAACTTGGTTTTCTCAAGTTTATAATAAAAAAACTGCGATAATGTCGAAGAAAATTCTTTTAAGTACAGGGTGGTCACTAAAAGTTCACTAACACATTTACTAAAGACTTTCTTGGAATTCTTTGAGGTTATCAGCATTCAAGGATGTTATCGTTTTCGCTACATTAAGCTTGTCTAATAATAACAATACATTTAATTAAAATAAAAATTATTTTTAAAAATCAGTAGCGTAGCAATACAATTTTTCGCAATGCGGCACTGCTGCTTCGTATCTACGCCGCTGCGTTATTATTTAGAAGTAGATTTTCGGCAAACTATTGCTTTTTGAATAAAACCAAATAACCCCGCACTATTTTTATCAAAAAATTGCTTATATAGTAGAGAGGAATACCATATCAGATCTATGACACTCTCTGGGCGGGAAAAAGATGCGCAGCTTTTACTGCGCTGACGTTTTCGGGATATAATCTATCACTTGTCATAAATCCGGTTAAAAACTCGCAGGCAACCCAAATTTCGTACACAATTATAAACTTTTGTTTACATTTTATCGAAGTAGTTTTTGTAATACATTCACAGCTTAAAAACGGAAAAATTGTTATTTTGATAGTTGATTTAGATCAAAAATAACCCCAAATACACTTCAGTGTGTGTTTTATCCTTATTGTTACGTATTATTGCTCGTTTTATTTGAGGACATTGGAATAAATAGAGTACTAGAAGTAATCAAGCTAAAAAGGTGTGTTATAAAAAGAAAATACATTGCATTCAACTGATTTATGTTTAATATGTTTTCTTGAAGTATTTTCAACATGCTAGTTACTTGAATGGTTGTAAATTGTAAGTGTATAAGTGATAGAAACTGATCTAGGCTTTGTGCTTCCTTTTTTTTTTTTGTTGGTGTCCCAGCCCAGCAGTAGTAGCAAAAACATTAGCATTGTCTACATTCAACCCATTTACATGTACATGATTTATCAGCTAAAAGCAGAATACAATATTTCTTTGCAAAATGTAAACAATGCTACAAGGAAAATTGCTCTTGTATAAATGCAACAATTAAATCAAAAAATATTATTTTTGAAGGGCTTATATCAATTATTATGTTAATTATAAATATTATAATATAAATATTTGTAACAAAATAATAGTTGTGTATTAATAAACCTGTTGTTACTCCAAAAAATATATTGTTTATTGACTATCAGGTATCAAAAATATGTGTACCTATACAAATTTGTTGAAATATGTTCTATTGCTCTTAATCTTTTTAATAGGTTCTTATTATAGTTGTAAATAAAAATCAACACTTTTTATCCGTCTATTTAACACTTACAAACATATATGCATATGTTAAGTTGTAAGGATTCGTAGCCTCTTAATTTTTTACATTGGACACAAGACCTGTGATGTCACATTAAATCGTGAATATGAGGTAAAGGACTTGGGAGTTGTCTTTCAGTTTAATAACCATTTCTTACACATAACTAAAAAAGCAATAAAAGCTTTGGATTTTTAAATCAGAAATACAAAACATTTTAAGATTACCACCAAAATCAGATTATATAATGCCTCAGTGAGACCCCATCTTGAGTATGTTTCACAAATATGGATGCCCTTGGAAGCCACATATATTGATCATATTGAAAAATTACAAAAAATATTTTATGGTACCTTCATGTCATAAAAAATACTCGTACCTTTATAAGATCTCTATTTTAAATATGTTAAGTACAAAGATTGTGATTTGATTGACTATATACATTTTAATGTGGCAAAGATTAATCTAAGAATCCCAAGTAACAAAATATTATTTAGTTTAAATCCAAGTAGTATATCTCCTTTTAACAAGTTGATGGCAGTTACCAATGAGTTTCTTAGCGAGGACCAAATAGATGTCTTTAATGTTAGCCTAACAAAGTTGACAGTAAATTAGCTACCTACTGCACTGAATGCACGCTCAGCCAGATAGGACGAATGAATTGCAAATAAAAACTTCTGTACTACTTTCACAATCCAAGGTAGAGAACTGATATTGATTTTTGAAGCCAAAATTCTTGGTCTCCATGTGAGTTTTTCGTTAGTTACGAATTCTAAGAATTCCTCTACCAAATTTGATGAATTTTTAGTACCTGCATTTGCGAAAGGATCTAAAACCTTACTCGGTACGTTCAGGTTTAAAATATCTTTTGTAAACGCTCCGTATAATCAACATGAAGAACCTGCAAGTGCTTGAAGTAAATAAGTAAATCTGTTGATAATCTGGGAAGGTATTTGTATTCACCTCTACCTAGATATCGTTTGAATGAAAAAAGTTTTCCGACAAAAGCAAAAGTTCAACTCATTACCTTGTAATTGTAAATTAACTTCATTAAATATTTTAAACAGGTCTGCCAAATATGCAATGTCATTTTTTGATAGAATCTCCCAATTTTTCGCCTCTGTCCTTAAGAAAGTCAAGAACTGAGTCAAATAGATTGAAAAAACAATTCAAACAAACACCTTTAGAAAGCCAACATACTTCTGTGTGCAGCAGTGTAATCTTCATCATTTTCACCACCATGCTGACCAAATGATCGGCCATTCACACACAATAGAGTTTAAATTTTTGCCTCCAGGAAGGACCTGCATTCCTGGCTAAAGTTTGCTCCAATGGTATTATTACTTAACTATCTAGAGACATTATTTGCTTGTTTTGATTTTTACACTGAATGAGTGGTTTTAATTTTGTTTATGTCGTGTGCACTACGCGACTAAAAAACGACGTAATTAACGGTTAGTCTTCCGTCCGACTAAAAAACGATTTAAAATCATCGTTTAGTCTTCCGTCCGACTATTAATCGACTTAAATCAGCGTTTAGTCTTCCGTCAGACTAAAAACAACGTTTAATTTTCCGCCCAACTAAAAATAACGCTTATAATAATCTAGAGTTTTTTTTACACGAGTTTTAAATCACCCTTAAGTCTTCTACAGAAATTCTGGTCAAAGAATTGCTTTATTTAGATTTTTTTTGCAATATTTTACTTTTATTGGTCAAATTTCGACAGTCAATCCAAATGTACTCATATGATTTTTGTTATAGGACGAACAGTCAATTTCGGGACGATTGCCGGCCAGTAGAGTGGAAGGAAGAAGCAGGGCGAGATCTCAAGGCGGTCCGATGAGGAGGCCGCACGAAAGACGTTTGGATACGTCTCCGTACTATCTCAGTCCACCGACGGACACGGGTTGGAGGCGAACCAATAGCGATTCGGCGTTACACCAGAGCACCATGCAGGTATTTATCGTTTACGTAAATGACAATTTTGACGTTGAATAAGAAAAATTAAATGACAAATATTCGACAAAATGGCTAATCTATGACAAACTAATATTATAAGTTACAACAAAACAATATTTATAAAATAGGTAGTAAATAAACATAATTAAATCATTGAAGTATTAACAATTAGTTTGTTATGCTTGTGCGTGACTAATACAATTTATTCAACACTTATGCGAATAATTAGGTTTCAATATTATTTAATCAGAACTGAAAGTCATAATTTTTATTTAAAAAAAAATTTATTAAAATATGAAACCTGAAGCTTTTGACATTTAAATAACATTCATTCATTTATTTATTATACCTAGGTATATATTTTGATTTACTTGTACTAATCGTATCTAATAATTACTAATCACCAACCCATTTAAGTTTATATTTTAAATGAGTTGTTTACAAAAAATAATAATAAAGAAAGGATTAAAATCTGAAACTTAAAGTTTATTTTTAATTATATTTAATTAACGTTTAAATACCATTTATTTATTATAGGTATATATTTTCAATTGCTTTTTAATTTATAAAAACCAATCAACTATCACCTATACAAATAATTATAGATTATACATTTTTATTTATTTTATTTAACTATTTATTTAAAATTAATATCGACAGCTACAAATAGTTTGAATATTTTATATTATCAGTAAATTTGAATTGTCGATACCATTTTTATTTAGTTGCCATGCCATATATGAATTATACAGAATTGTTAAAATACACTCACACATATGGGATCAATAGGAGAATCAAAATAGACATTTCCCACTGCTTCAAGCGAGATATATCTTCCATAAGCCTTATAAAGTTATAACAGAACAAATAGAAGAGCCAGAAGTGGCAGATATGATTCATATCTACACTGACGGTTCTAAACAAAACAAGGCTCAGGATGTGGAATATACTACAGATTCTTAAACCTAAACATAAAATGGGCTGTGAGCAATAGTGCCACTGTAGTTCAAACAGAGCTCACGGGGATTCTCAAGTAAAAGAAATCACCAGAAACAATATGACTGGAAGGAACATGCTCATCTATACAGATAGCAGACAAGCACTACTCACCCTGAACAGACTACGAATTTACTCAGGGTTAGTACTAAACTGTCACCCACTTGCTCTGGAAAGCGATCTCGAAGAACTAAATGGGGCAATACTTGAGGCATATGAATCAAGCTGCATCATTGCTCCTTGGAGGAACCGTCATCTGTCAAACTTACGATCCGAAGTGCGGAAGCTCTATAATAGGGCCAAGCACAGCGGAGATTGGCAGAGCTACACCGAGGCACTACACTGTCAAAAGAGCACTTGCATACAGAGGAGTAGATAACATTACATCCAGATGGATAAAAAAGAATTGGGCAGTAGAAGAACCGATAATTGGAACAATCTCTTGGGGCTGATATAGGCTAAGATACTTCTGAGTGAATATAACCAGAAAAGATCGGAAGCCTGCATCTGCGTGAGCAAGACCAGGCTACGTATTGTAACAGGGATACTTACCGGGCATTTCCGACTAAAAGGACACCTCAGTAAACTGAGAGTAGTAGATGATAGTGAGTGCAGATTTTGTGAGGAGGAGGACGAAATCTCCATTCACATTCTAACTGAATGTGTAGCACTCCAGAATCCAAGGGTACTATATCTAGGAGGATATCAAATAGAAGAGGCAGACTATGACTAGACAGAATCTGCACCTAGTCACTGGTATTCTTACTAGTCATTGCCAAGCACGGAAGCATCTCCATATCATGGGGCTGTCAGAATCCGCACTCTGCAGAGGGTGCGAACAAGAAGATGAGACCATCGAGCATATCCTATATGATTGCTCGACACTCTCATTTATTAGAAGATTTGTATTCGGCGAGTATATAAGAGAAGCACCTCTTGGCGACGTTGTCAACTATATTAAAGGCTGGCTCACGACCTAGGATGTGCCTATCATCTTAGGAGAATGCATAATGGGCGTAAGTGCCATAGGGATAATCCACCCTCCACATGTTACAGGTACATATATATTTGGCAACAAAATTTAAATTCTCTAGATTTATTAGTACATGTCACAAGACATGAAATTGTTAATTTCAATAATTCTAAATTCAACCAAAAAAAAAATATGTTAAAAATATTTTTTCTAATTTCATTGTGTTCGGATTTTACAAAGAATTCAAAAATTCCAATTTCCACAATTTAAAATTGGAAAATGCTGTTTAAATAGTACAGGAAATTAATTAAAAATTGAAATAGTCTGGTAAAGTTAGGCCAAAAAGTAGAAAAATAGTGAAAAGCATTCAGAAATTTGGAATTTTCAGGGGATGATGATGGACAAAAACAACGATTGTTCGAATAGAGGTTGGAATATGTCGATGATGAACGGACCCGTCAGAAATAATCATCAGGATAATAGGAGACCTCGGTCTAGTTGCGACATACCGTCGTCGACTCGAGTATCTGGACTTAGGTACACGAATGAAAATATTTTCTTAAACAAATGTATGAATAACTTATTTTTTTAGCATCCATCCGTCAGGCCACGATCCTAGTTTAATACAACTACCGATCGCGAATACCGGCTCTCTGCCTGATTTGACAAATGTCGATTTCTCTTCTCCAATTCATGTACCTCTCGATCAAGAACATGAAAACTCTCCTTATAGTTCTGTAAGTTACTTTTTTTCGTGATCACATATAGAAATAATTTTGTCCCTATTCTTTTGCAGAATATGCGCTTAGATAATAAAAATATAGTAAATATGGTGGATTCTTCAAATTATACACAATTACCTGGTCTGACTGGAATTTACAATCACCACCATCACCACCATCACCACCAACAACAACAGCAGCAGCAACAACAACAGCAACAACAACACCAACAACAACACCATCAACAACAACATCAACAACAGCAACAACAACATCAACAACAGCAGCAACAACAACATCAGCATCAACAACATCAGCAACAACAACAACCATCCACGTCGCCTTCGCCTACGGTAATTAATAATTTAAACTGCCAAAACTGGTATCATTTATAATTAGTATTTTCGAATGATTCCAGTTACAGCAATCTGGTGCTTATAGAAGTCCAAGACCTAGTCCTCAATCCTCGCCGAGTCCCGGCAGGCATTCGGCGCCCTGTAGTCCGGGCGCTCAGAGTCCCTTACCCAATGAATATTATCTACTCAATCAACAAAGTCAACAGTTCCAGCAGGATTTCGAACAATTATCGATGGTAAGCGCCCATTTTGCTTTTTAATTGTCACTTTGTATCTATTAACCCCCGTATATTCGCCAATTAATTAATTACTTTAATTCCAGTCAACAATTATTAATTAATAATCGTAAGTACTGTGTATGCCACATAAATCGCTTTTAAGTCGAGAACGACAGATAGCGTTACTTATTGTGACAAGAATGACAGATAACCCCAATCATTATGACAAGATTAATAGGTAATTGTCGGTTATTGTGACAATTATGATGGATATTTATTGACAGACAACGTCGGTTATGAAAATAATAACAATTTGTTAAAATATAAGATGCAAATAAAACCTTGGCTAAATTCATTAATCAAACTCTGTCTCGCTATTGATCATCCAATTTTAAATGCTCAAATGAATATTAAGCTTAAAATTTTGATACGCATATTTAATTAGTTGTTCATTCAATTGCTGACCATAATTTTATATCGTTTTTTGTAAATAATCATTTTTTAGCACGTTTGTTGATTCTCTTCACTTACAAATCGACTTTATAATCATAGCTTTGACTTAAAATCATTGTTTAATCTTCTGTTCGATTAAAAACTACTTAAAATCATCGTTTAATCTTTCGTTCGACTAAAAATCGATTTAAAACCATTGTTTCCGTTCTTTTTTTTATAAAAAAACATTTATTAACCTTTTAAAAAAATATTTGTCATACACATCAGCATAAAAATATTTTCCGTTTCATTAAAAAAAAAAACTACTTAAAATCATCGTTTAATCTTCCGTCCGACTAAAAAAGTACAAAACCATCGTTTAGTCTACGGTCCGACTAAAAAACGACTTAAAATCATCGTTTAATCCTCCGTCCGACTGAAAACTACGTTTAATCATCCGTCCGACTAATATAAACAGCTCAAAATAATCCTTAAATTTTCTACTGGAGTTTTAACCAACGAATTGTTTTATTTAGATAGTTTTTAGGAGCATTCGGATCCCATAATTCGAAAATCTGCAAAAGTAAGGGTGGCGGATTGGCTGCGTTGCACTTATGATTTATTATATTTGGCATCCTTCAGGGAAAGACTGACTTTGTCTTAGAAATTGTTATTTTAACCGTCATATTGAATCTCAATGGATTTTCGCAGTTCCTTCGAGATGTTATTAGCGTTTTTGTGGATTTGTATGCCACTATTGATGGATAGCTGTATATTCTTCCCCGTTTTGATGAATCTACTCAGGTCATCTCCTTTTCGATTTTTCTCCACACTTTCGCAATTGCAATCAATTTTTTACGTGTTGCTTCAATACTCACTGACATGTTGATTGTTGGTGGTAGATTCGCACCAGTATCCAGTATCAAAATCCTGGTTTGGGTGTCTTTCGGGAATTTGAGCCTTTTAATGACTAACTTGGTAGAGTCCAGCTGTTCCGTTACGTACTTCGATTGTTTCCGCTTTACTTTCGGCATGTGTTTTCTCCATACTTTCAATATTATTTTTATCTACACTTTCCTGCCTGTGTTATCATCTGCAGCGTTCATTTAGTCGTCAAACTTTTTCCTCACTGGGGCTTCTTTTAAGTTCCAGTTAATTCTCCTGACTTGTTGGGAAAAGAGTTTGATTTCCTGGAATGACGATCTCTTTGTCGGGCTTCTGTCTATACTCGATCGTGTTTGTATTTCTCCATACTTTTTGTTTTGAAAGTGGATGGAAATTTTTTAGGTACAGCTCCAGTAATGCTTGTATGGGGTGCGTGGTGGTGCAAATCGGTTCCAGTACCAAAATTTACGGTTCTAGCCCTAACCCCTGTTGGCATTTCAATCCTTTTGATGGTAAACTTGGTAGGGTGGTTAGAATGGGTCACATAGGCTGATTCGAACGTTTCAGAGTGATCTGTGGACCCTGTAGGGATGCTTTGGGAGTTAGATGGTGGGAGAGTAGCGTCAGATGAAAGGTTTCCCAAGGGGATGGGGTTAATACTTATTTCCGAGGGGGGCTCTCCTTCAGGTATGTTGTCATCCGAATCCATGAAATCCTCTGAAATTTCGTCGCTGGCACTGCGACTAAAGTTAGGAGTGTTTCCTGTGTTACCTGACCTTTTCTGTTCGATTTCCTGACTTTTGCGGGTTCTCCGAACTTTTTTGACTTTAGTATTCTCCATACTTTCCCAAAGTTCTCCTGACTTTTTTTGGATATTGGTGGTGTTTTTTTGCGGATTTAAGGTCTGTATTTGTGTTCAGTATGGCACTGATGGGAGTTGGGTGTCGTTTAGTAGAGGTAATTCAACATTTTTGATAATAACATCCATGCTCTCCTCGGAGCTAGTGGATTTGTCTAAATCCCCGTAAACTTCCTCTAGAAGGCTTTGAGGGTCATTTAGAGGTCGTTTCGGTGAATTTTTAAACAGGGGTTCCCCCTGTACTGGGCAGATGACCACTTGGTTAGTTGTCATAGTGGTTAAACCCAATAATGTTGATTTACTGAACCTTTTTTGTTGATTTTGGCCTTAAGAGTTTCAGGAGTCTGTATTTTCGAGATGCTTTTGAGTGTTTCAGAGTGTTTCCATCTGTTTCTCTGACGTTGGGAATAGATTCTAGGGTATTCCCTGATATTATTGTCGGTGCTTGCCCCGGAGGGCTCTACCATGGAGCTGTGACTCCTTCTAATGGGTTATAAAGTTACTTTTAGACGGTCAGATCAGTTCTCCGTTCAGTCTCAGTTTCAGTCGAATTGTCAGTTATCTGTATGTATAAACACAAAAAACTGTAAGAAAAACTGAAACTGATACGGAGCTGAGGCTCGATGGGTATACTAAGTTATCGTATCAGTTGTCAGTTAAAGGAATGTAATTTTCAAACTGAACTGATAACTGTACTGAAACTGAGACTGAACGGAGAACTGATCTGACCGTCTAAAAGTACTTTAACTAATACTTCCTTGCTAACTCAAACGATAAATAAATGAAAAATTGTAGCGGTTAGAGGTTAAAAACCTGGTGTCTCAATTCGGAACTACGAGGAGCGCAACAAAAATCGACGTACTGCCTTTGGTGAGTCCAAAGGGTAAACTGATTCATCGAACCATAGAACGACTTAAAATTATCGTTTAGTCTTCCGTCCGACTAAAAACTACTTAAAATCATCATTTAGTCTTCCGTCCGACTAAAAAACTACTTAAAATCATCTTTTAGTCTTCCGTTCGACTAAAAATTACGTTTAATCCTCCGTCCGACTAAACAAAAACAGCTTATAATAGTCCAAAAGTTTTTTACGCAAATTTTGTCCCACGAATTGTTTTATTTAGATAGTTTTTAGTGATATTCGGATCCAATAATTATTAAAATCTGGGAAAATTGGGATGGCGAGATCGGCTCGATTGCATTTATGACTTATGCCCATTTTGTCCATCGTGCATATTTCAGAAAAAAAGTGGTTTCGTCTAAGAAGTTGTTATTGGATGACGCTATCTGTTATTCTCGTCAGAAATAAAAGCTATTTATGTTGGCCTCGCTACACCTATAGGAGACTTATTTAACGCAATTGAATCAGTTATTTTAGAATTGAGACTTTTAGCGTAAACTCTAAATCTAGAAGTAATTTCTAGTAAACGAAAAGAAAAAAAAAAGTTTTCGACTCGGGATTTGTCTAAAATAATTTATTCATTATGCAAGTTGCATTGAATTGAAAAAGGATTTCAGAAATATTCTACTCTTGATATTAAAAAAACTCAGGAGTAAATTTCGGTTTTAAACGTGACTGGTACATGAGAGCTTTTCTCTTTTATAATTAATCGCGTTTACAAGAGTTGCATTTATTAGATTATATCACGAAATAAAATAAAGTAATATATTTTCTATTTAAAATTGAAAAAATCATTTGACAGTGGCATACGTACAAATATGCACATTTGCACAAATAAAAACGTTTATCAGACTGGATGCTATCTTTCCATTTTGAATTGTTATTTCTATTCTATGTTGATCTCTCAAATAGCACGTTAAAAGCCGAAATTATATCTGTTGTAATCTGTAAAACGTTTAATAATAACGAAAAATATATGAGTTTTACATTAATTATCTAAAGTTATTTGCAATTAAAGTACAGTACTTATTTTTTCATATCTGGCATGCGGTTATAATGTAAAGGGATATAATTGGCAACAGCGCATCCGATCGGCTGTGCTTCGTGTATAATTTGCAGGTAAGAGAGCCTCTCTGCTCAACTGGATAGCGATGTTGCCATTATGTCGCTCTCAATGTATGGCTATGCCAGACAGTGCTGCATAACGCCCGATTGGTGAAATAAATAAAATTGTCACGGCGTGTCTGATTTGTCCGTAATCCCAAATCGAATCATCACTTCATCAGTAGTAATTTAGTATGCATGTGTTGTCAGGACTGGGCACAGCTGGTGGCGAGCCTTTTGGAGTCAGGCTGCACCTGGAGTGCGCAGTTGCAGGTGACTAACAAGATTACAAATCATATTTTTCTTTATTTTCTTCTTACTTTTTATTTATTTTATTCTGTTATTGTTTTGGGTTGACTGTAGCATATTCATTTGTTTCTGAGTATTAGTCGAGTTTTTTTTTGTTTGATTGTATGCGGCTTCATTATTTTTCATCGGAGTTGTAATATTTATTATAGGAGATTGGGACAGTCATACAAAATTGAATTATTTAGACTTTTAAATAGCTATGCCTCTGATCAGTACACTAACTTGATTTATTTTGGTATCCAACTTATATTAAATGTTTTTGAGACATTTTTTATAGTCTAATTGCCGCGTTTAAGAAGGTATATGTATGGTAAGTTCAATTAATAACTGATGCCCTCTACCTTGTTTTTTTGCCGACAGGACATTTTTCTTGTTCCCTATTTTTTATCATCCTGTGCGCCGACACGATAACTCGATCGAAAGCCCAATCGACAAGTTGTTTTCTCTATACTTCATCATTTATTCCAATTGTCATTTTTGAATGTCAAACCAGTTACACTCTACTCTTTTAAGTAGCATCGAATGTATTGTCAACAACAAATTAGATTATGATTCACAGAAATCTGAATTTTCAGCAATAACCCTTTCTAGACTTTAATGTCCTTTTGTTGACACTGTAGCCTTTTCTGATCCTGTAGAAGACATTCAAGAACATTGAGGCAGTTGGTGTCTCAACTGTGCACTCATAGTTCTCAAATAGCAAACTGGGCACCAATTTGAATACGAGTCGTACAAATACAATGGAAACTCAAAGTTACTAGTTTCAGGCGCGAAGAGACTTCACGAGGCTTGTTATATATAAACTTGTAGCATGTAATCTGAAAAATCAAGGGCGGTAAGACAGGTTGGGAAATTAAACGTTAAGAGTTAGTTGAATATGGGAGTCACAGATATAATAGGCCTGCCTCAGTGTTTTTAAAGGTCTGACGGAATGTGGGAAAAAAATCAAGGGGAGGGGGAAGATAGAGAGGAACTAAATGTTAGATATAATAAAACTAGAATCAAAGTCCCAGTAACAAAGGGTTTCCGATGCTTTTTTCCCTTTGCGGCTATGGCCGCCATCTTGCTCATTTTGTATCGTCATTTCCTATCTACTTTTTGAGATTTTTTTTTTGTATTTATATACAACTTATCACATTCGAGTATGGATGATCTTTTTCAATAGAATATTCTCTCATCTAAAATCAGGAACTGCGTTTTTGATTGTACCCTATTTAAAACGCTAGGAAGAAGAAAGTGGCTACTATTCCAACACTCACTGTCTAAAAAATAGTTATCGACTGGCATGTTGTAATTTATAATTGTATACGTACATTTTTTATTTATTTAGATCTTTGATTATTTATTACGCTAGATTTTTGAATTGCCTTTGACACCTATACCATCTGTTATTTATCTTTATGCTTCCTTTGGAATCTTACTATTATTATCTTGTACTTGGTCGTTATATTTTATTTATTTTTCTGTACACGTTTGCATGTTAGACATTTTTTTGCATTTTTTCAAATAGCTATTTTATAACATTAAGTCGGGTTTCAACTGAAACAGATGGCGTTGTTCGCAGTAACGACGATTTGTCCGCAAAATATCGAAATTTAAACAAATCGATTTGTAGTAGGTGGAACATGGGAGTGCAAACGAGCAGGTCGTTGACCTCGAAACCCCCACTGCTCTCGTGGTTATTCATTGTGGGCGGGATTAATGAATTAAATAAATATTGAGTAAAACACGTTTCTAGAGTAGGCCATGGAAAAAATCACGAATTTCGGAACGTACAATTATTTTTTAAATGTCAGTTTGGATTTTGTACTTATTATGAAAATGACGTATCTATATCTTTGTCAATCATTGCTTACTTTAGAAACCATTTTTTCTTTCATAGTCATGTAAATAGACTCTTTGAAATCATTCAAATGTCATTACAAAATACATTCATTTTCATGTGTAATTTTACTAAGATTTCATTTTAAACTCATAATACGTTTTTATAACAAGTTTTGCTTTAGTTTCCAGTGCTATATTAGACGAATTAGAAACTATGTTACTACTCACAGTCAAACGAACGATGTAAAGATACAAAGCATGCTATACAGGGTGTTTGAAATAAATAGTAGACAGAAGTTGAACAGTACTTTAGTTGGAGAAACGTGGATCCCGAGAATTTCGTATTGTTTGACCGCCGATGCATCGTAGAATAAGTTAGGTTAGAATTGTGTTATTTTTTGGCGGTGATTTGTGGATTAAAAATAATTATTTAAACGAGTGTTATAGTATAATACGCGAAATTGTTATTAGAATCTATAAAATAAATTTCTACGCTAATGTATCACGTTCACTTCGGTTAGTTCCATGGCAAAACTGAACAAATCCTGTATATGAAGTGGGAGACCTACCAAAGTACTGTTCAACGTCTGTCTGCTTTTATATGTACATATTAAAACAGGTAAAGAAAAGGTATGATATCCAAAATTCAAGCTTATTTTAAACAAATATAAAAAAAAAACAAAAGCACTTGGCTACGTTGTCAATGATAAACACATTAGGGAGCTTTGAACTGTACTCAGCACACAATGACAGTTGCATGTGGCATTTTAAAATAGATTTTCAACACTTAATAAGAATATTTAAAATATTTTGTAGAGGAAAGTTAAAATATTAACCTAACCAGTTTTAATGTGTACATTGTATTTCAACGTATTAGACACGAAATTGACACAAAAGCACTGTAATGTCGGCCATACAGGAAGTGCTTTCCCTAATTAACCTGTTTACACGTTAAATACGTTCCATAAACACACAAATCCTGAAAAATAAATATTTTAGTGAAACTCAGTTACATTAAATAGAACCAGAACAGCCGTTGTTTTTTTGTTGGTCTTTCTGATTTTTATTGACGTTATATATTGAATTAGATTAACCAAACTAACCAACGATGAAAATAACCGTTGACAGTATTTTTTATGGTCGATTTACGGAAAGCACTCATGGTATTTCACAAGATATAACCAGTTTTTGATTAATTATATTGGCCTGTATACTCAAAAAAATCGTTTATTTGGCAGCCGTAGCTATTTAATAGCTTTGTTCTCGGAAATAAACCTGAACTGAAGAGAACCAAGAGTTCCATTTTAGCTACTGCGCAAGCGCAACGCCACTATTAATTCGGAATCAGTCCAGGATTTTTACCACGAATGAAGCTATACATTTTTTTTTTAAACTCCCCTTTGATACGTGCTGACATGCTTTGCAAGTACATCTTTTCCGCGTCAATATCTGACGTATATATCTTAAATCTAAAACTGATGTATTCTTGCAATAGACGGAAATGATAGATCGCGACTTTTAACTTCACAGTTGGACCCTCCGAACAGTATGTCCTACGTGGATCAATCGACGGGTGCTCAGCAAATAAAACAACCCCATCAATCGTCGAATATACCGAACGCGAGTCCCATCAACAGTCTCGAAATGAGCACGGACGCTGGTTATTACAGTACGTCGCCGCACGTGTATCCCTCTACTTCGCCTGGATTAAGGACGACACCAAACACTCCTACGAGTTTGCCTGAAATTATACTCACAGGTGTGTATTATTTTTACTTTACTTTTTAGTACTAAATATATTGTTTATTAATTGGGTATGCAGTTTCTTGACATTTGTTGTCGTTTTCTGACAATTATTGATATTTTTAGCGTTTCAAGATAGAACAGTCTTGATATTATGAACGATTCTTGACATTTTTAGAGCGTTTCTTAACATAACTTGCCATTTCTTAACATTTCTACATTTTATTAACATTTCCTACAGCTGCTTAACATTTACTTAAGTTTTCTGACAATTTTTGGTTTTGTTAGCGTTTCAAGAATGATTCTTTACATTCTTGGATTGTGTCTTAATATTTCATGCAATTTCTTAACATTTACTGACGCAGTCTTGATATGAACAGTTCTTAATACTTTTAGAACCTTCTTGACATTTTCTCCCATGTCTGGACATTTTTTGCCATTTCTTTTCTGATATTATTAACGATTCCTAACATTTTTAGAATACTTCTTGACATTTCTTAATATTTCCTGCATTTTCTTAACATGTCCCGTAGTTTCTTAACATTTATTGAAGTTTTTTTGACAATTATTGAAATTGTCAGCATTTCAAAACGCACAATCTTGATATTAACGATTTTTTACATTTTTAGAATGTTTCTTGTCATTTCCTGTAGTTTCTTAACATTCCCTGTAGTTTCTTAACATTCCCTGCAGTTTCTTAACATTTTTTTTTTGTTTTCTTGATATTTTTATCGTTTCAGAACATTTTTAGAGCGCTTCTTGAAATTTCCTGCATTTTCTTTAGCTTAATAGTTCCTGGTGTTTATTGACTAATATTGATATTATTAGTGTTTGAAGACCAACAGTCTTGATATTAACGATTCTTAACATGTTTAAAATGATTCTTGACATTTCTTTACATTTCCTGCATTTTCTTAACATGTCCTGTAGTTTCTTAACATTTCCTGTAGTTTTTTAACATTTACTGAATTTTTTTGACAATTATTGATATCTTAGCGTTTCAAGACAAAAATAGTCTTAGTATTATTAACGGTTCTTTGCTTTCTTGGATTGTATCTTGATATTTCCTACAGTTTCTTAACATTTACTGACGTTTTCTGACAATTATAATTGTAATTTTCAGCGCTTCAAAACGCACAGTCTTGATATAAACGACTCTTAATTTTTATAACATTACTTGACAGTTCCTGTCATTTCTTAATCTTTCCTGTATTTTATTAACATTACCTGTGGTTTTTTAACATTTTTTTTATATTTTCTGACTTTTATTGTTTCAAAACGACATTTCATTACACTTGATATTTCCTCTAGTTTCTTAACATTTTCTGACCATTTCTGACTATTTCTGACTATCATTGATATTTTTAGCGTTTCAAGTGGATATTATGAAAATTCTTGACATTTTTAGGATGCCTCTTGATATTTCCTATAGTTTCTTAACATTTCCTGCATTTTTTAAAACATTTTACGGTTCTTTGCTTTCTTGGATTTTGTCTTGATATTTCATACAATTTATTAACATTTTCTGACAATTATTGAAACACTCAGACTTAATATGAACGATTTTTAACATTTTTAGAACGTTTCTTGCTATTTCCTTCTATTTTTTAACCTTTCCTGCATTATCTTAATATTTCCTGTGGTTTCTTAATATTCCCTGCAGTTTCTTAACGTTTTTTTATGTTTTCTTGCAATCATTGATATTTTTATAGTTTCAGAACATTTTTAGAGCGCTTCTTGAAATTTCCTGCATTTTCTTAACATTTCTTTTAGTTTCTTAACATTTCCTGGCGTTTCCTATCAATTGTAGAATTTTTAGCGTTTCTAGACGTTACTATAAATGATTTTTTACATTTTTAGAACGCTTCTTGACATTTCCTATAGTTTCTTAGAACGTTATTTAACATTTCCTGCAGTTTCTTAATATTTTCTGATAATGATTGATATTTTTATCGTTTCAAAACGACATTTATAGGACGCTTCTTAACATTTCCTGTAGTTTCTTAATATTTTCTGACGTTTTCTGACTATTATTGATATTTTTAGCGTTTCTAGTAGATATTATGAAGATCCTTGACATTTTTAGGACGCTTCTTGATATTTCCTACAGTTTCTTAACATTTCCTGCATTTTTTTTAAATTTATTGAAGGCATTTTGACAATTATTGATATTTTAGCGTTTTAAAACGAATATAGTCTTAGTATTATGAACGGTTCTTTGCTCTCTTGGATTGTGTCTTGATATTTTGTACAATTTCTTAGCATTTACTGACAGTTTTTGACAATTATTGATATTGTCAGCGTTTCGAAACGCACAGACTTAATATGAATGATTTTTAACATTTTTAGAACGTTTCTGGATATTTCCTGCCATTTTTTAACCTTTCCTACATCTTCTTAATATTTCCTGTGGTTTCTTAACATTCCCTGCAGTTTCTTAACATTTTTTTATGTTTTCTTACAATCATTGATATTTTTATAGTTTCAGAACATTTTTAGAACGCCTCTTGAAATTTCCTGCATTTCCATAACATTTCCTGGCATTTTCCGACAATTGTAGAATTTTTAGCATTTCTAGACGTTACTATAAACGATTCTTAACATTTTTAACATTTCCTGCAGTTTTTTAATATTTCCTATAATTTCTTAGAACGCTGTAGTTTCTTAACATTTCCTGTAGTTTCTTAACATTTCCTTAAGTTTGTTGACATTCATTGAAGTTTATTTGGCAATTATTGACATTTTAAACGATTATTTACATTCTTTGATTTTTAACATTTTTAGAAAGTTTCTTGATATTTCCTGCCATTTTTTAACCTTTTCTACATTTTCTTAACATTCCCTGCAGTTTCTTAACATTCCCTGCAGTTTCTTAACATTTTTTTATGTTTTCTCACAATTATTGATATTTTTATAGTTTTAGAACATTTTTAGAGCGCTTCTTGAAATTTCCTGCATTTTCTTAACATTTCCTTTAGTCTCTTAACATTTCCTGACGTTTTCTGACAATTATAGATATTTTTAGCGTTTTTAACATTTCCTGCAGTTTTTTAATATTTCCTATATGCTATTTGGCATTTCTTAACACTTCCTGCAGTTTCTTAACATTTCCTGTAGTTTTTTAACATTTCCTACAGTTTCTTAACATTTATTGAAGTTTATTTGGGAATTATTGATATTTTAAACGATTATTCACATTCTTTGATGGCGTCTTAGTATTCCCTGCAGTTTCTTAACATTTACTGACGTTTTCTCACAATTGATATTTTTATCGTTTCAAAATAACATTTTTAGAACGCTTCTTGATATTTCCTGCATTTTTTAACATTTCCTGTAATTTCTTAACATTTTCTGTAATTTCTTAATATTTCCTAACGTTTTCTGACTATTATTGATATGTTTATCGATTCAAGACAATATTATTAACGATTATTAACGTTTATATAACACTTCTTGATATTTTTTAATATTTCCTGCATTTTCTTAACATTTCCTGAAGTTTCTTAAAAATTATTGTAATGTTTTCTTTTCGACAGTCATTGATATTTTAGATTTTCAAGACGAACAATTCGTTACATTCCTGGATTGTGTCTTGATATTTTTCCGGCAGTTTCTTAACATTTATTGACATTTTCTGACAATTATTGATATTGTCAGCTTTTAAAACGCTCATATGAACGATTTTCAATATTTTTAGAACGCTTCTTAACATTTCCTGCCATGTTTTGACATTTCATGACATTTCTTTACCTTTTCTGCATTTTCTTGTAGTTCCTTAATATTTTTATTAACATCTTTTTCAGACAATTATTGATATTTTTAGCGCTTTAACATGAAGTTTTGATATTATAAACGATTCTTGACATTTTTGGGACACTTCTTGATATTTTTTGCAGTTTTTTAGCATTTAAATGACTTTTTTTTAACAATTGTTGATATTTCTTGCAATTCCCTAATATTTATTGGTTTTCTTATTATTAATTATTGATTGTTCTTAGCATTCTAACACTATGAGCGACTCTTTACTTTTATAGGACGATTTTTGACATTTCCTTCCAATTTCTTAATATTCATTGATTGTTCTGGCACTTTTTCTTATTTTTTAGCAGTTTAAAAACAAATACTTTTACGTTTTCAATTATTCTTAATATTCATGGGACTATTCTTGATTTTTATTGACGATTCTTGTCGTTAATTGACGATTCTTGTTCTTTAGCGATTATTGTAATGTATTGACGATTCTTGTCGTTTATTGACGATTCTTGTTATATATTAACGATTCTTGCAATTTCTTATTACGTTTTGATAAGTAATAGAACAATTTTTAGACATTTATGTTGTTTCTGATCAATTCTTGATATTTTCTGGCATCTTATAAATGGTTCTCGACATTAATGGACCATTTTTGAGTATATCCTTATACTTATGAACGATTATTTGAGTTTATGAAGTTTATAGACTACATTTATTTCGTTTATTTCTGATTTTTATTCATACTTTCATATAGATTTTTCGGGAGAAGACAATTCCCGACAACTGTCGTCAGATTTCTTCGCGGAAGAATCACTGCGAGCCGGCCTGGGACCATTGGATTTCGAAGAGATCCAAATACTGAACTCATCAATAGGCATATCTGAAATGGTCGAAGACAATTTTAGGTTAGACCATCGCTCATAATGTGAAATACGGTAAGTCGTTCTTGTATAATTCTTCTTTAAACTTTTTTTTTTAGTAAAATTCGGCTGGGAACGCTTTCAATGTTGGTTTTTCTTTTGTTTTACAGGAAATCACTGCCGAGTTTCTGTTAGCCGTTCGTGCTGCAAGTAACCCGAGGATTTATTGAAATTAAAAAAAAAATAAAACGCCCAAAAACAATTTTTAAATTTTATCTTTTTGTGAACCATGCTATGTGTGATCATTAGAATGTTTAAAAATACCTAATGGCAAACCATAAATATTCGTGTAAAAAAAAATATGAGATATAGGCGTGTGATCACTGTCGTTGCAAGCGATTATTCATTATTTTATTTTTACTATTAATTATTTTTAATTATTATAATCCTTTTTTTTTATCATATATTTGCTCAATTATGTTTTTAGCTCCAAGCGATCACTGTTAATGAGTATGGTGCCGAAATAGGGAAAATTGCTTGCAATATAGGCTTTATAAATCACCTAAAACGAATATGTTCATCTAGAAGAGAATTTTTTTTGTAAAAATTGGCCCCTTTAAATTATAATTTTTATGACGCGCCCTTTAATGACATATAAAAAGTATCAGACACTTATGAATCATAAATTGCAATTGAAACAAAACAAAAACATTAAAATCGTGAAATTGGTTTAAATACGTCCACTATATAAAAATAAAAAACGCCTTAAATAGCGCCTTTTAATGAAATATATTAAACGCTCTATTAAAACGGGCGAAAATATTCAAAAATTATAAGAGGCGCAGTTTTATAAAAATATACAAAATTATTAAAGACGAATTTTAATTAATAAATAGTAGAAGGCGCCTTTTACCGAAAATATTAGGAAAAACATAGGAAAACGTATTTAAGCAACGCATTTCCTCAGAAAATATTAAGCGGCGTCTTTAAATAAAAAATATTAGGCAGCGCCATTTTACTGAAAATATTAGGAACAGCCTTTTTAACACACAAGTTGCGCCTTTTTGCAGAACATTAAATGGCACGTTTTAATCAATAAATATTAGACGGCACTTTTTAACCGAATATATTAGGAAAACCCTAGAAAAATGTGTTTAAGTTGCGCATTTTCTTAGATAATATTAAGCGGCGCCTTTAAATAAAAAATATTAGGCAGCGCCTTTTTACTGAAAATATTAGCAAAAGACTTTTCAACATACAAGTTTAATAGGCGCATTTTAAAGAAAAACTTATTTCAGTCGCGCTTTTTATCGGAAAAACACAAGTTTAAGAGACGCATTAAAAAAAAATTGCCTTTTGACGAAAAATATTAAAAGGCGTCGTTTATCCAAAAATATCAGGCAGCGCATTTTTACCGAAAATATTAGGAAAAGTCTAGAAAAACATATTTAAGTCGCGCATTTTCTTAGAAAATATTAAACGGCGCCTTTAAAAAAATATATTAGGTAGCGCCTTTTTACCGAACATATTACGAAAGGCCTTTTTAACACAAGTTAAAGAGGCGAATTTTAAAGATAAACTTATTTAAGTCGGGCCTTTTCACGGAAAATTATAAACGGCGCCTTTTAATCAATAAATATTAGACTGCGCCTTTTTACCGAAAATATTAGCAAAAGCCTAGAAAAACGTATTTAAGTCGCGCATTTTCTCAGAAAATATTAAGAAATTCCTTTTTAACATACAAGTTTAAAAGGCGCATTTTGGAGATAAAGTTATTTAAGTCGCACCTTTTCACGGAAAATGTTAAGCGGCGCCTTTAAATAAAAAATTATTAGGCAGCACCTTTTAAAAAATATTAAGAAGAGCTTTTTTAACACACAAGTTTAAGAGGCGCATTTTAAAGAAAAAATTACTTTAATCGCGCCTTTTTACAGAAAAATTAACAGCTCCTTTTAATCAAAAAATATTAGGCAGCGCATTTTTATCGAAAATATTAGGAAAAGCCTAGAAAAACGTATTTAAGTCGTTCATTTTTTCAAAATTATTAAGCGGCGCCTTTAAATAAAAAATATTAGGCAGCGCATTTTTACCGTAAATATTAGTAAAATTCTTTTTAACACACAAGTTTAAGAGGCGAAGTTTAAAGAAAAACGTATTTTAATTGCGCATTTTTGCAGAAAATATTAAACGGTGCCTTTTAATCAAAAAAGTAGAAGGCGCATTTTTACCGAAAATATTAGGGGAAGCCTAGAAAAACGAATTTAATATTAAGCGTCACATTTAAATAAAAAAATATTAGGCAGCGCCTTTTAACCGAAAATATTAGGAAAAGCTTTTTTAACACCCAAGTTTAAAAGGCGCATTTTAAAGAAATACTGAATTCAACGGCGCATTTTTACCGAAAATGTTAGGAAAACCCTAGAAAATCATTTTAGTCGCGCATATTCTCAGAAAATATTAAGCGGCGCCTTCAAACAAAAAATATTAGGCAGCTCCTTTTTATTGAAAATATTAGGAAAAGCCTTTTTTAACACACAAGTTTAAGAGGCGCATTTTAAAGAAAAACTGGCTTTTTGCAGAAAAATTTAACGGCGCATTTTAATAAAAAAAAATATTAGGCAGCGCCTTTTAACCGAAAATATTAGGAAAAGCTTTTTTAACACCCAAGTTTAAGAGGCGCATTTTAAAGAAATACTGAATTCAGCCGCGCATTTTTGCAGAAAATTATAAACGGCGCCTTTTAATCAATAAATATTAGACGGCGCATATTTACCGAAAATGTTAGGAAAACCCTAGAAAATCATTTCAGTCGTGCATTTTCTGAGAGAATATTAAGCGAACAAAAAATATTAGGCAGCGCATTTTTACCGGAAATATTAGAAAAGGCCTTTTTAAAAGACTGCGCCTTTTTACCGAAAATATTAGGAAAAGCCTTTTTAACACAAAAGTTTAAGAGGCGCATTATTTCAATCGCGCCTTTTTGCAGAAAATATTAAACGGCGCCTTTATACCGAAAATATTAGGAGAAGCCTAGAAAAACATTTAAAAGCTTATTTTATTAGAAAATATTAAGGGGAAACTTTAAAAAAAAATATTAGGTAGCGCCTTCTTACCAAATATATTAAGAAAAATCTGGAAAACATTTAAGTCGCGCATTTTCTCTGAAAATATTAAACGGCGCCTTTAAACAAAAAATATTAGGCAGCGCATTTTTACCGAGAATATTAGGAAAACTCTTGAAAACATATTTAAGTCTCATATTCTCTTTGAAAATATTAAGCGACACCTTTAAATAAAAAATATTACACAGCGCATTTTTACTGAAAATATTGAGAAAAGCCGTTTTAACGCACAATTTTTAGGGGGTCATTTTGAGTAAAAACGTATTTAAGTTGGGCCTTTTCACATAAAATATTAAACGGCGCCTTTAAACAAAAAATATTAGGCAGCGCCTTTTTACCTAAAATATTAGAAAACGCTTTTAGAGGCGCATTATTAAGTCAGGCCTTTTCATAAGAATCTTAGGGTCGCCTTTTAAAATAATGGCAGTGCCTTTCTACCTAAAATTGTAGGTAACGCCTTTAAACACGATATTAAAAGGCGCATTTTAAGGAAAACCATAATTAAGTCACGCTTATAGAAAAAATTAAACAGTAGAGAGGTTAAAAGGCGCCTATTAACGAAAAACATTAAAAGGTGCATGAAATGATGCCTTTTTACAGAAAATATTAACTTCATTATAATATAAAATTGCCTGTATCGCGATATTTGTTTGCCAAAATAAGTCACAAATGGAGCAGCACAAAAAGTATGATCGAATTTGTTGTAGCCGCGCCGAATGGGAACCAAAATTATATACGAGGTGTTGTTATTGTATATAAATGTTTTGTCGAACGTCATACATGGAAAAAATGTTTTGAGGTTATAGATAGAACGGAGGATGCAGTGTACATTTCGATGTAGTTAAGTTTTTTTATATATATATCTACTTATATAGCTCTTTATACTTTTTTTGTAAAATTTAATTATGTTGTAATTGTAATTCGAGAAATTTATTAATAAAAATTGGAGGAAAATTAATTATGTCAGATATATTTGACGAACGAAATCATTTATTTAACAGTGGTCCAAACTATATTATAAAAAGTGATATTGAGGTAAGTTGTTCTATATATTTTCTTCGAATTTTAGATTTTTTTAATCTTTAGTGAATTTTTATAGATGTATGATATCTGTAAAGGTGTAAACTTTGACTTTTATCACCTTCTCATTTGAAAATTAGTCTAGATATTGAGTTGAGATTTTTATCCATATTTTTTGTTCTTTTTCTCCGCATTTTAGACTTTTTCAATTATTAGTTTTAAAATGGGGAATTTTTGAAGATGTTAGTGATATCTGTAAAAATGTAAACTTTGACTTTATCACCTCCTCATTTGAAAATTAGTCTAGATATGAAATCGAAGTTTCTATTCAAATATTTATCCATGTTTTTTTATACTTTTTCTCCGAATTTTAGACTTTTTCAATTATTAGTTTTAAAATGGGGAATTTTTGAAGATGTTAGTGATATCTGTAAAAATATAAACTTTGACTTTATCACCTTTTCATTTGAAAATTAGTCTAGATATGAAATTGAAGTTTTTATTCAAATATTTATCCATGTTTTTTTGTACTTTTTCTCCGAATTTTAGACTTTTTTAGTTATTAGTTGTAAAATGGCGAATTTTTGAAGATGTTAGTGTGATATTTGTAAAAATGTAAACTTTGACTTTATCACCTGGTCATTTCAAAAACTAGTACATATATTGAATTGAGGTTTTCATAATAATATTTATCCATGTTTTTTTATACTTTTTCTCCAAATTTTAGATATTTTTAGTTGATTAGTTTTAAAATGGTAAATTTTTAAAGATGTCAGGGTGATATCTAAAATTATAAACTTTGACTTTATCACCGGGTCATTTGAACACTAGTACAGATATTGAATTGAGGTTTTCGTAAAAATGTTTATTCGTGTTTTTTGTACTTTTTATTTAAATTTAAGATTTTTTTTAATTATGAATTTTAAAATGGTGAATTTTTAGAGATGTGAAATTGTAAATAAACTTTGACTTTATCATCTCGTCGTATAAAAACTAGTACAGATATTGAATTGTTGTTTTTAAAAAAATGTGTATCCATGTTTTTTGTTCGTTTTTTCCGAATTTAAGATTGTTTTTAATTATGAATTTATTTTAAAATGGTGAATTTTTAATGTGATATCTGTAAAAATGTAAACTTTGATTTTATCACCTGGTCATTTAAAAAATAGTAAATGATATTGACTTGAGGTTTTCATAACTATGTTTATCCATGTTTTCCCTACATTTTCTCCTAATTTTACATTGTTTTAATTACTAAGTTTGAAATGGTGAATTTTTAAAGATGTTAATGTGATATCTGTGAAAATGTAAATAAACTTTGACTTTATCACCTCGTCGTTTGAAAACTAGTACAGATATTTAATTGTGGTTTTTAAAAAAAATATGTATTCATGTTTTTTTGTTCGTTTTCTCAGAATTTAAATTTTTTGGTTAATTTTAAAATGGTGAAATTTTAAAGATGTTAGTCTGATATCTGTAAAAATGTAAACTTTGATTTTATCATCTGGTCATTTCAAAACTAGTGCAAAAATTGAATTGATGTTTTCATAACAATGTTTATCCATGTTTTCTCTAGTTTTACTCAGGATTTTAGATTTTTTTAATTATTAGTATTAAAATGGTGAATATTTAAAGATGTCAATGTAATATCTGTGAAAATGTAAACTTTGACTTTGTCGCTCGTAGTGTAAAAACCAGTCTAGATATGGAATTGAGGTTTTTATAAAAGTATTTCTCTACGTTTTTTGGTACTTTTCTCCAAATTTTAGATTTTTTTAATTATGAATTTTAAAACTGTGAATTCTTAAAGATGTTAATGTGATATCTGTAAAAATGTAAACTTGACTTTATCACCTGGTTATTTGAAAACTAGTAAATATATTGAATTGAGGTTTTCATAACAATGTTTATCCATGTTTTCTATATTTAGTCTCCGATTTTTTAATTATTATTTTTGAAATGGTGAATTTTTAAAATGTCACTATGATATCTGTAAGAATGTTAACTTTGACTTTGTCACCTCTTAGTTTGAAAATTAGGAGAGATATTGAGTTGAGGTTTTCATAAGAATATTTCTCAGTTTTTTTTTCTACTTTGTCTCCTAATTGATTTTTTTTATAATTATTAATTTTAAAATGGTGAATTTTTAAAGACATCGGTGTGAAATGTAAACTCGACTTTATTTTATTATTCGAAAAGTCAAAATATTAAATTGCAGCTTTTTTAAAAACATTTATATCTTTTTTGAAAGTTTCCTACAAATTTAAGATTTTTTTGAATATATTAAAAAAATTAGTTAAAACATTAAAATACAGTTTACAAAAACATTTTTATCTTTTTTTTTTAGTTTCCTACAAATTTTAGATTTTTTTGAATGATTATTTTGCAATCAACGAATTTTATATAGACGACGTAAAATTTTTTTAACATTTATTTTATCACCGTACCTTATGAAAAACAAAAATGTTAAACTTTATTTTTTACTTATGTTAAAAATTAAATATTTATATAAATGTGTGGGTTACACAACGGGGATGCCATATACAGAGTGTTAGGGATAACACCCACATAAGAGGGAGTAAAATAGTCATCAAATCTTAAACTTAGACGAATCTAAAGTATCAGAATTTTAGCACATCTTGGCAACAGTGTTCGTCTATTTCTTATGAAGATTAAACGTCGTAAAAATAATCTCATTTCTGACTAGCTAAAAAAGAAAATGTATTTCTCTGTATTTGTAGAACAATAATACATATTTTGTTTAGCAGATCTGATATTTGGCTGTGGAAGATACATCTATTGATAATTTTTATATTTTGCGAGAGTATAAATGACGTTTGCCTAAAAATTTAAATGTTAATATAGATGTTGATTTTTGAGACAAAGTAAAAAAATGGTGAATTGAAGAAATATTGTCCCATCTTGCCAAAAGTGTTATTCCTGGCGTCTTGTATTTGAAATAAGTGTATATATTAAAATATACGGTATACAAAAGCAAACGTTAATAATTGTTAAGAAAATTTTCCTTCACTGTGTTTAAAACGGAACAAAAACTGCATAGAAACGTACCCAATAAAACATTACACATAAATTCAGTAGCGCTGAAATTAGATCAAAATTCTAATGAAAATAAAAATGAGACTACTAGCGGCTTTTGATTTTGCTCACTAGGAACAGATGGCGACAGCATTTCACTACTTAAATTCTTATTCTCTTTGTAACTGTCATTATTGTATACTTTGTTAATTCCATTAATCGTTCTTCTTAGTGAGCAAAATCAAAGGTAGAGTGTTGAAATTTAATTTCCATCTCTGCTGTCTTTCCTTTGGATATAATTCAATACCGGTTGGGGTATTAGCAAAGAGTACCTACCCAAGAAGCGAAACTCACATACTTTGATTTTCTTTTACTATACGGAGAATGGTCGCACTGCGCAGCTTTCTGAGTGCCTTTTAAAAGGAGATAGAAAACTCCGCCATTTTGAACCCTTATTACGTGTTGCCTACATCTTGGCGCAATATTTTTAATAGGTGCGTTTTAATCATCCGCTTCTGCTTCGGAATTGTCGGTTTTCTTGTTTTAATCTGACAGGTTAGAACGACTGAACCGACAATTCCGGAAGCAGAAGCGGATGATTAAAACGCAACTGACATTTTGCTTGCTGCTGTCAGTGTCAGTGAATATTATTTTTGGAGTCACAGTTTATTGCTAAAGAATCAGTTAGCTCACTCGGGCCAGTTGAAAGTTCCAAAATAACATCCACTCCAGGGATACAAATTCAGGATACGCAGAAGACTGTTGTTTTATTATAGGCGGTTGTCATATATTGTATTATCTGAGTTGCGCAGTGTATAAACTGGAATATTGAGATAAAAAGTGCCGACGCAGAGTGAGCGATCTGATTCTTTAGCTATAAACTGTGTCATAGGGTTCAAAATGGCCGCGCCCTATGTTGGGCTTGTCGGACCTCTCTCTTGCCCCGTATAGTAATCAAAGTATGTGAGCGAAACTAAATGGGCGATTCGTGGACAAAAAACTGCCAAGTTTTCTCAGTGTTTTAGAGGTGGTTTAACGTCAAATATAGCTGTCAATTTATGTAGAGCAACCAGAGCAACGTTTGGTATATTATTATTAGCGTTTTGTGAAAATTGCAGTATAGTTAAGTAGTTGTATTTAACTAAGTAGTAATTAGAAATTAGATAGTTTTAAAATTTAAATTACAAGAAATAAAATACATTTCGTTATTCGTAAATTTTATTGAACGTTCTTGCATCTGGCTGTCAATGTTTTGTTTTAATTTCTAAATCAGTATTACCTATAATGATAATTTACGCCTACGTATTATGCATCGTTTAATTTCTTACTCTTTTATTTAAATATGTTATTTTTGTTTGTTTTTCAAACCATTCAAATTAAAACAGTAAATAAACAATAATTAAAAGATATGACAAACTCACTTCGAGAAACCAAGTCGCTGCTATCAGAATGCATTTACAACTACCTACAATACTTCTGGATATGTAACGTGTAGAGGGTGGGTTATCCCACGGCACTTAGGCCTCACTATGCCCATTGTGTATCCTCAGAAAATGATAGGCACCTCTTATCTCATGAGCCAGCCTACACATTTAATGTAGTTGACACCGTCGCCAAGAGGTGCTTCTCTTATATCGGCCGATGTTAGCCAATACGCGCCGAAAACAAATCGTCTAATAAATGAGAGCGACTGGCAATCGTAGAGGATATGTTCAACGGTTTTATCTTTTTGTTTGCACCCCCTGCAGGGTGCGAATTCTGACAGTCCCATGATATGGAGATGCTTCCGTACTTGGCAATGACTAGTCAGAATGCCTGTGATCAGACGCAGATTCTGTCTAATCATAGTCAAGTATTTGTTTGTTATAGTGTTGTCAGGATAACTTAAAATCTCCCTGGTAACTCCGCAAATTCTTGTTTCATCCCATCTTTCCTTCAATTTCACAAGGTCTGTCACTACCGATGTTGTCAGTCCAATAGAAGGGCCAGATCCAAAAAGTATTTGGTTGGCCGCCATCTTGGCTAGTGAATCAGCAATAAGGCTACCTTTCGTTGTGGCGTCACCTTTGCTCCATTTTGGATGGATACCCTCGCCAAAGCTTCCTGACATTTTAGTACTAACCCTGAGTAAATTCATAATCTGTTCAGGGTAAGTAGTGCTTTTCTGCTATCTGTATGGATGAGTATGTTCCTATCAGCGATTTCTTTTGCTGCTATGAGAACCTCCGTGAGCTCCGTGAACTACATTGGCACTATTGCGCAGTTTATGTTGAGGTTTAAGGAATTGGAATATATTCCACACCCTGAGCATTGTTTTGTTTTAGAACCGTCTGTGTAGATATGTATCGTACCTGCCACTTCCGGCTCTTCCATTTATTTTGTTAATACTTCGTATGGCTTATGGAAGATATAACTCGGTGAGATAAGGTTCATGTTCGCTTGAAGCAGTTGGAGCGTATCGAGCGCCTTTTGCCAAAAACGACTCACCTCACCAGATCGTACGTCAGATTCTATTCCAACTGTGCATAGGCGTGTCATTGTCCTTAATGTAAATATCATGGGGAGTGAGACTAAGAACGACTTCCATGGCTCTGGTTGGTGTGGTTTTCATAGTTCCTGTTATGTTGAAACATGCTGTTATTCGAATTTGTTTTATTTTGCGGATAGCTGTCAATTTTTGCCCAGACAACTGCACCGTATGTTAGCATAAGCCGTATGATGGTCATGTAAGTCCATGTGACAACTCTGGGAAAGAAACCCTAGGTGCACCCCACGGTTTGGTGGCATTGTTCATAAGTAATGTATGCTCTGTTGACTCTGTTTTCTAATTGTGAGTTCCATGTTAACTTGTTGTCAAAGTGTGTTACCTAGATACTTCACCTCTGTTGCAAAGTTTTGTCTTGTGTTTAGGAAATCTGTAGGTTTTAATTCCATTTTCATCATTTCCTTGTAAAAAGGATTATTTCTGTCTTCTTGGGATTGATAGACAGTGAATGGTTCTTGCATCACTGTTCCATAATTGTTCACAAAATTCCCTATTTGCAGAACGACCGTTATCAACTTGCGCTATTGTGTAGTGACTGTTTCCTACAGTACTTATTTCGTTATTAAAATAATATATTTGACATAATGAACATAGTAAGATTTTTCTGTCATTGTTACTTTATTATGTGTTTAATTCTTATGAACCAAACGACAAAAACTGATTAATTTTTATACGTTTCCCAGTGTATTAATTTCCCTTGCTTTGGTACATACGAAAACTCATTCAGTTTCGCTTCTTGGGTAGGTATTCTTTGGTATTAGTCAAAGGAGTAGTTGTTTTCTTAAGGGAAACGGTCGCTCGTATTTATGTAATACTAGCTTTGAGTTTTATTTATATTATTTTTGAGACCATAATTATTCAAAATACCACCCTCCTATCAAAATCAAAACGCTTTTGGCAACATTGTCAATAACAGACCCACTGGGTAGTTGTTTTTATTGAACTAAAATCGTCAGAATGGCATATTTAAATTGAATGGGTGAGTACTAACTTTTTTCGAGTTGTGACCCCCCTCCTCCTTTTTCGCCACCATTTGTATTAAATGACATTTTCAGTAGGATCAAAACAACTCGATAAAAATTGATTTTCCAAGTCGTCATTTTTTATGACCAAACGTTACAGTATAATTGTTCAATATTAAATTTATTAGATGTTTCTTTTTCACTCTGCATAAAAGTCTGTATGCTCATGGTTTTGATACATTTTTAAAAATCTGATGTATCCAACACATGACTTTCCTCTCTAATCGGCACTTGGGGGTAAAGGTGCATAAGTCGAAAATATTCAAAACTGAGTTGAATATACCACGATACTTCTAAATTCATTCCGTTAACCTGGGAAAAGGAATATGAGTAATGGGAAAAGGAATATGAGTAATGGGAAAAGTAATATGAGCAATGGGAAAAGGGATATAAGTAATTTAATCCTTATATTTGGGTATTTAAAAAAAAAAACGTTATTCAAACGCGAATATTAAAACCTTTTAACTCATTTTAAGATCTTATACTTTTTTCCGCTTTTTCTTCTATCCGTACATGTAGAACACGTCCTCTTCTTCCTGAAAATCTATTGCTCATGGCTTGGTAAACATCTTTTATCTATAACACTATATGCATATCTATATTAATATTTTTATTTGCCATTCACCAGTAGCAAATAAAAATAATAAAAAAATTGAATTAAAAAAACAAAAATTAACCCTTAATAGCATGGCCGAGCGGTTTTTGACAACTAGTTTTAGACTCTTTTAGTCCCAAGGAAATAGAAACGCCGAGGCTTCTCAAATTCTCGGAATATTTTACAGTTTTGAAAAGATATATTTGAAATAAGTACAAAATTGACTAACAAGTCTCAAGAATAAATGACTTAAATTATATTTAGAGAATAAAGTACTACTTGATAATATATCCAAACTTTTAATACAAAAAAACCTATGATTTATTACAACTAGATAAACTTCCTATTGAATTATATAGTTTGGACTTATTAACAACTAAAATAGCACTGGAAACTGTAGCTATATAAAATACATATTTTAGATAAATATAATACTCGGAACAAAAATTAAAATTGGCATTTATATGCAAATCAATTATTTATCTTAAACAAAACAAATAAGTTAAAGATATTTACCTATAGTTGACAAATCACGGCACAAAACTTTACACATTACAGTATTTCGGGACTTAGTGTCCCGAAATGCGAGAGTCTCCCCTTTCGGCAAGTGTTTTTGGACCTGTTCTCACTCGAGTCTTTTTTTTCTGTCTAGTCTCTCTATTTAAATCCAAAATGCACGGGTGGCACAAAATTGATCGAAAAACATTTTATCGAATATAAAAATGATCGAAAAACCAATTATACATAAAATTAGAAAAAATAAAACTTAATTTATTTACCTAACCTGTGTAGCCTAGAGCCACCGCTGGTTGCGTCGCAAAAAAATATACAAGAAATTAAAAAAGAAACTAATTTACCTAACCTGTGCGAGAGCAATAAGTAAAATTTAAATGGCACCAGGCCGCACAGGTTAAGTAAATTAGTTAGTTTTTAATTTTTTCTTATTTTTGTATAACCCTTGACGGCTCCAGGCCGCTCAGGTAAGATAAATTAGTCGAGTTTCTTTATAAAACAAAAACTTAATTTAACTGACATGTGCGAGAGCAATCAGTAAAATTTAAATGGATCCAGGCTGCACAGGTTAGGTAAGTTATTGTAAGTTTTTTATTTTTCCTATTTTTATATATTTTTTTGCGAGGAAAACCGTGAAGGCTTCAGGCCGCATAGGTTAGGTAAATTAGTTGAGTTTTTATGAAAAAAATCTTAAAATAATTTACCTGAAATGTCCCATCGGGTGACAACTCCATTATACTGAAAATATTTTGTGTGAATTAATCACAATGCTTTCGTAAATTAACAGTAGT